GTAGCTGGACTGATCTGAAAAATCAAAGAGTACTATAAAAATTTATAACTCTATTATTGCTTACAAATATCAAAAGAGGCAACAAGTTCAGAACTTTAAACTCCGTATACTGATTTCACTTTCTGACAGAGACCCTTCAAAAAAATCAGTTATTTCTAAGACAACTAATTTAACACAGGTTCTTTGCATTGATAGTTGTTGGCTTTTTGATTGAATTTTTTGAGATTTATTGGGAACCCTATCAGTAGGCCTCAACAAACACAAATGAAAACTCAAGATCCTCAAATACAACACAAAGAACACCAACCCAGTCACACTTAATAGCAAAACTCTGAAAGATTTGGAATCTTCAACGTACTTGGGAAGCATCATCGATGTACAAGGAGGATCGGATGCAGACGTAAAGGCGAGGATTGGAAAAGCAAGGGCCGCATTCCTACAATTGAAAAAACATGTGGAACTCAAAACAACTTTCAACCTGTATCAAAGTCAGAATCTTCAAAACGAACGTCGTGTCAGTTTTATTGTATTGGAGAACTAATCCAAACATCATCAAAGAGGTATAACTATTTATGGACAGCTATCTACGTAATATACTGAATGTCTGTTTTCCGAATACCGTCAGTAACACCATTTTGTAGAAGAAGGCAAACCAGCTTCCAGCTGAGGAGGAAATTACGAAAAGACGTTGTAAGTGGGTAGGACATACATTACGCAAATCATCAGACGGCATCACCAGGCAAGCCCTCGCATGGAATCCTGAAGGGAAGCGGAAAATAAAAAGGTCAAAGAATACATTACGTCGGGAAATAGAGACAGATATGAAAAGGATGAATAACAACTGGAAAGGGCTGGACATGATTGCCCAAAACATAGTGGATTGGAGAGTGCTGGTGGATGTCCTATGCTCCTCGACGAGAAGTAACAGGCATAAGTAAGTATTGTTAACCCATGAATTTTTGGTTCAAACACCTCATATTAGCGATAACACTGAGTGATGATCAAACTATATTAGCTGAATTAGCTAAATCCTGAAATGTGGACCAGAGAATTTAGATTGAAACGTCTACATTTTTCATTATCTGATTTTACTACTTTTCTACTTAACGTTATCGTGAGATAATAAATGAATCTGTATTATTCACTAGTTTATACACCAACATAACATCAACTAATGTCTCTGAGAGGAAAAAAATCTATTTAATAATCAAATACCTTAGTACATTAAATGGAAACCATGGTGCTAGTTTTAAAAAAAGCCCAGATAGAAATCAATATCTAAGAAAAAATATTTTAATAATTGATTACTGTGATCAGTTAGTGTCAAATTCAGTATAAAAAAAACTATTTCATTGTTTTCTTTATTGATCAATAAATATTTTTGTACAAAATCAGACACTTAATTAATGTTATTAATAAATGATCAGTGTATATAAAACGATTGAGAAATATACTAATTAATTTGAAACAGTATTGTTTATTCCTAAAAACACTTCATTTATGTTATGAAATTCATGATTCAATTTAATACACTAAACAAAAGTTATTTTCGATAATGATATTAGAAGACGAAGATTATCAGAACTATGTAGTTCTGATAATCTTCGTCTTCTAATATCATTATCGAAATTTATCAAAGGGACTAATTGTTTTAAAAGTTGTTTTATTTATATTGGGAGTTCATTCATTGTATTATTAATGAATAGTTTATTATTCAGAATAAAATATAATTAATATGAAACAGTTTTCAATTAATTTAAGTAGGTTAAGCGTTCGCGCGCAAGACACAAGGTCCTGGTATGATGTGTGCTACTTATATTGACATAAGTAGTATATAATGTTATTCTGGAACAGAAGATCTGACAGTAGAGACGAGAGGATCGAACAGTAAAGAATGGGAACAGGATGCAATTTGTATGAAAATGCAAGAATAATGAAGTCTGAGTTATTATGAGACAATTGATGTACATTTTGCAAATTAAGCCTTTACTTTATGATTGTTAGATTTTACTAACAGGTCCTGTAATGTTGTGTTAATCGCATTCGATTTTCCCCGCTGATGTTCCTGTTCACTACGCTGGATTCGAATGCCACGGACAGGACCGTGGGTGCGCATTGCTTAAGAGTCCCACAACAGGACGAAACGGACGTCCAACACTTCCAGGTTTTCAATGGTAGTCTAACATCAATCGGTTCAAGATGTCAATCAATAACTTAGTAATCTCCATAACCCTATACTGATAATTTTTAAAACATTTTTTAAAATTCACTTGGTGTTGTTTTTTTACTTGTATCTTTCCATTGTTATTTAGAACCGCAATTCATCAGTCTCTGTGCGGATTGTCTCGATATAGATTTAGGTCACAAGGTTTTTAAGCAAAGATGGATAGTGGCTAGCAGTGGAATCCAGTTTGACACTCCTTTTGTCCTATTTGAGACTCATCAGCTGGATGGGTCACCCCGGGACTCGAACCCAGTGCCGTACGCTTCAAAGGTCGCCGTGTTTAGTTATTTTGAACTGGAATGATGAACAACACAATAGATTCTAAACATAACTTTTGATTGTGAATATAAATTATCATTGGCATTAGTGACTTAACATTACGAGTTACAATTAACAAAACTTTGATTATTTTATTTGGTGATTCACGAGGGGATTTGTATAATTTTGAATATAGCTTTAATCCAGAATTGATATCATTGAGAAGGATTAACAATTATTTCATTCTAGTTTGAGACATTTGAGTTGTCCGCGTTTAAAATCTACCATTGGATAAATCTAGGACATACACCTATTATGGAGAATACAATAAATTTACATAGTGGTTTGAAATCCACAGATCTGTAGTTAGATGTTTGATGTACTGTGACCGTTAGTCGATGTCGTCGATATGTTTTTGCCTTACGTCCAACTTACTTGACTTTCCAGTCATGGGATCAGTCCATAAAATCATTGACTATTAGCCTGCGTCAGATTAGTAAATGCAGACTCTTTTTGGGTTCTTTAATATAAACCCAATCATTGGTTGGAAACTTTGAGTTACATAACTCGGAACTGTTCACGAAGCGAATGGATTCATTTTTCATATTCTTTCGAATATTGAACTAAAATACTTCTTCAAACATATCTTTCTACTATGTCTTTTCAAACTTTATCCCCAAAATCTATATTTTCTCATTATAATTGCTACTACAATATTCCCATCTCTTTCGCACCTCGTCCTGTTGTCTACATCTCAGCATATTAATACAGTTTTAGCAGAAAGGGCAAAAAATATCCGTGCCAGAGTCTATGATGTTGATGACTAACTGACTAGTCAAGCGTTTGCTCTAAAACCTCAGAAAATTCACCTTTAGGTTAAGGATTCCTAGTGAGATGAAAACAAATATTTATTGTTCCCACTTAGTTAATGGTTATCCAGATGATGATGATTCGTGACTATAATTATCTTCAGAACTTTGGATACATATAAAATTGCTAGTAACATGTAGTTTAGCCGAGAAATTACATATATATGCAAACAAGTAACAGAGTTATTTCTTTCTTTTTCCACAATAACAAACTCCCTTATTTTGAACTGTTATACTTCACATTGTTAATTGATTAGAACTTTAATTTTTGAAGAGATAAATGTTTCTAATAATTGTCCACTTAACAAGTTACAAATATATCTATACAGTGTATCATAACTCAAACTAAAAACGTTTCAGTTGACAGTTTTTGACATCATGATGAGATACATTCATAATAAAATCAATAAGAATGGCGAATAATCTTTACAAAACAGTTGGTGATTAGTTGATTCAATCGGAAAGTAATTAGATTTTTCTATGAATAGAATATTAGTATTATTTTAGTTGCATATACATACTGTGCATCAATATATGATGCACTATAACTTTACAGTGCAATCTGTTCTTTTAGTTATGACCTTTTGATTGTAAATTATTCAAGTGATACATGTACTGCTACTTAATAAAGTTCAGAATAGACCATAGTTATCTTTTTATCTAGGTGACAATGTTTCAGTGTCTGATTGTCGATTGTTACTTGTCCACAAAAAGAAAATAGTCTAGGATGAAAAAAGATACTCAGTATTGATATCATCTATAAATTAACTATCTTAGGAAATGCCTTATACAACAATGCTTAAGGTATGGGATTCACTATTTTACCCATTACTATGTTACAAGCAAATCACTTTCCGTATAACTGAGCCTTTCAGCGAATAATTCATCTCAGAATAGTATAACATTTTGCATTGATAGAATCTAAAAAAGTTAAAGATATGAAGCGTGCTAACTATGTTCATTGTTATCAATACCTTTATTTGATGCAACGTTTTAAGTGACTATTGAAAATACATAACAGAAATCTCATGTTAACCTAAAAATACTACGATGAACAAATCAGTAAAGCGTGTGCACAAGTTCACGAAAACTCATGACGTGACTTTTTACCGCGATGTTCACATTTTTCAGCGATTTGTAACAGTTCTATTCAATTTAATAATTGAGTATTGAACAACTCAGCTATCAATACTAAAAGATCAATCAATATGTGGTTGTGTAGATAAATTGTTTAATGAGACTATCATTTGTGGACGACCTTTGAGCGACGTTCAAGTGACCTTGAGAGTGAACACATACTGATTAGGACTAAATGAGGGTTATAAACCAGTTAGAATTTTCATTTACAGTTGATGGTTAGGGTTACAATTCGATTTTGGGTTTTCATCACGACATGACATCAGCTTTAATGCGAAAACTCTATTTGGCCAAATGTATGAATGAATTTCGCGCTAAAATTCATGACTCATTATCATATATCTGATTGGTTCGTCCATAAATTATAGTCTCGCTGTATAAACACTTTAACACATTTTGTTCTATTTCGGTTGCACGAATACTCCACTTGATGAGAGGTTAGTGAAATAATATGAATTCATATCGTACTGATGAAGTCGTAGTTCATCCGATGTTAATAAAGAAAACTATGTCAATAAAACAGTATATTTATTCATATTAATGCATTCAATCATATAAATAGGTGTTAATAATACATTCGCAAATTAAGCTCTTACTGATCACCACTAATTGGTAAATCAATTCTAGCCATCGTAAACTGAACACAATGACCAATAGATAAAGGTTTATTTATTTATGTGCCAATTAGTTTTTAATGATTCAAGGAATAATTTCTCCAGAGGAAATAAATCTTTGGAAAAATTATCTATTCATAACAATATAATAAATATATTCACTTATATGCATAAGAACAGCACATAAGCCTCCGATAATCATAAATAGCAATGGTCCGTTCATTTGTTTTAAACGTATTGGAATTTTTGAATTTCTGTCTTCTTTTGTTACGCATAAATTGTTATGTACTTGAAGTTTAGTTGTAAAGTCAAATGCCTGTTCATTTCTATATTGTATGCTGTAGAGTCTTCCAGAATCCTGTAAGTACTTGAAAATATGATATGGGAAAACAGATAGGAAGAAACTATTTAAAATAATGATAGATTTGAAAGGACAAATAACAATTAATTTATAGAGGACTGCATAGTTTAAAATATCTAATTATTATTAGTCTATGGTGAGAAATATAAATTATTAACCAGATTTTTATCAACTATTTAATTAAAAGAGGTCAGTAACTATTTGAAGATATATTTATGATATCCCCCCATGAGTAGTAATTTGAACTTCTGAAACTTCATGACCTAATGTAAACTACTTCTTCGAAATAAACAAATAAATAACCGAACTAACTCATCACAAGTTTGGACAACACATAAGAAAAAGAGCTGAATGTTTTTGATACAGTCAGAACTAAAATATGTCTGAATATATCAATGTTATTCTATTTTTAGTCAAGTTGATTCTGTGTGAGACATCACTGAGTTTATCTGTGTATTTGATGGTAGGTATGTAAAAAAGTGAAATTATAATGTGAAAGGGTACAGTTAAAATTTGAGTTTGTTTGTTTGTTAATTGTGGGTGAAATGAACAGAATTGAATGTGGTTAATTAAAAAAACATCACAATTCGGATGAAGATTCTGCCCTTTTTTCTATTGAGGGCAAAGGGATTTTGGATTATATGATACGTCTTAAGAATACATATTTCCCCATTCAGTTCACTTTATTCCTATTAATAAAATGATCAGTAGAATTAGTAGTTGGAATAAAATGGTCACGATACTATTAGGACTGATAAAAGAGATCATAAAAATTAATGACCCAGATTTATTGATAAAAATACAAAATCTTGAATTTAGGAATTTACAAAAACTAACGAATGTTCGTGCTAAAAAGTTAAACTGACCGAAATGAAGTCAATAAAAGTAGCTAATGAAATATGCTTACATTTTACGCAACCAGTCACCTGTATAATAAAATTTCAAAAAATACTAGGGTCTTTCTACTTTATTTTTAAATTAAACATACCATGCTGTTATGCTATAAACAACTTAGTAACTGTGTTTCAATTTGTAATAACTGTAATTAACGTGTAATGAATCTGATCAGCAGCTTGATTTGAATAATAGTGAATATGATGATGAAATTTGAAAAAATATGTAAATTACAATCAGGTTTAAACTAACCTATTAACATTAATGTTAAAGCAAGATTGTAGCCTGATATGTTGTGATTTCCCAGGTAGCACACACATATACACAAACGTTAGACAACTGGACGTAACTTTTGAGAAAAGTTTGGACTCAATATGAAATCTATTTCGTTAATAATTCAGATGGATTGTGCAGATTAGGTGAATATTCATTATATCTTTTTCTTCATTTACAGATGTCAATTGGAGAACCCTTAGAAATCAAGAAGTGGTCACAAACTAGGACGAGATAGCTATCCACTATTGTCAGATTCTCAATAGTTCACAAGGTGAAGTCAATACGCGAATAATTGTTTTTAGCCATCCATTAACAAAACTATTTCATGGTTATTTTGAAATTTTCAAACATTAAACTCACTTTCAAGTATACATTCATTTTCCAAAGTGATTTTTCACTGAATGTTACAAATCCCATTTCCATTAGAGGCATATCTTGGAAATTTCCACTGTCATTAACAATCTCACCATTATCGTTTTCATCTTCATTACAATTTAGCTTAATATAATTCCAATCAGTATTTCGATGTTTTAATGATTGTAGATAATGACCATGAATATGATCTGTTAATATTATCACTGATGTATTAATCTCATCTGATGAAAGTTTCCCGTTTACCAATTTCATTGGAAAAGAGAACTTCTTTTCAAAATAATTACATACATTTGGATTTAAATCACAATAAATTGTTTGGTTCTGACTGTTTAAATAAGGATGATATTTGAAGTCTTTATCGGTATACTGTTTGAAAATCAACACAGATGTACCCATTGCATAGGCAATAATGCATATTAAACAAAATGCATGCCAGAATAAAGTTATTGTTATTCCGCCCCATGATTTAGGCAATTTGTATGAGGCTAAATTTCAAAGAAAAATATTAAGAGTGTGATAATACTGTTAATATTTCATTGTAAGACATATTTAAAAATTAAAAGTGGTTTATAATACTTCAATGAAGTTTATCTGCCTTTTAGTTTTCCTCTGCATTTAAGTTTAAAAGAAAAATGAAGTAGTTGATTGACAGATATGTTCAAAAAAGAAGCATTTCACACAAAATAGGCTTAAATTTATAAATACAAATCCCGTTTCAAAATCAATAAACTTTTGAATATAGTCCCTGTAATTGGTTAACAAACTCCGCGTGTAGCTCTTCTAGAGTTACTGCCGGTCCCAAGCACGGGTAAAGGAGGAGGATTGAGCATGTGATTAGCGACCCCATCCCGCAGAAAACTAACTCGCTAAAAAAACGCTTACCAGAAAAAATAATTCAAACAATTTTAACTCTGCCCTGGGAGTTAGAAGGTCTTCATTTAGAAGAATTATGACGCTTCATGGTGAAAGCCGAGTTCCTTCGGAAGCCACGAGTCCGATGCCCCTTCTAACAACCAGAGCAACAATTTTTATAGGTACATGGAACGTCCGAACAATGTGGGAGACCGGGAAGACCAGTCAAATAGCAACGGGAATGGGGAAATACAACTTGGCAGTACTGGGAATCAGCAAAACCCATTGGACCCAAGCTGGACAACAAAGGCTAGATACGGGAGAGATGCTGCTGTACTCCGGTCACGAAGAGGAAAATGCTCCACACACTCAGGGAGTCGCTCTAATGCTGTCCAAAGTAGCACGAAATGCACTTGTAGGATGGGAATCTCACGGATCCAGAATCATCAAAGCATCATTCAAAACAAAGAAGGAGGGGATCACAATGAATATTATCCAGTGTTATGCACCCACCAATGATAGCAACGACGAAATTAAAGATCAATTCTACGAGCGTCTGCAGTCAATCATAGAGAAATGCCCAAGAAAGGACCTCACCATTCTAATGGGAGATCTAAACGCCAAAGTCGGAATAGACAACACCGGATATGAAGATATCATGGGACGACATGGATTGACTGGGACAGAGAAACGAAAATGGGGAAAGATTTGCGAATCCGTGTGCATTCAACAGATTGGTCATAGGAGGTACAATATTTCCACACAAGCGTATACATAAAGTTACATGAATCTCACCGGACCACACTACAGAGAACCAGATAGATCACATCTGCATCAATAAAAAGTTCCGTAGGACAATGGAAGATGTGAGAACCAGGAGAGGAGCTGATAGCTTCAGATCACCACCTAGTTGTGGCCAATTTAAAACTGAAGCTAAAAAGGAACCGGACAACTGGACAAACAGCATTACAAAGGTTCAATACAGCCTTCCTTCGAGATACTGACAAACTCAATGAATTCAAGATAGATCTCAACAACAGGTTCCAAGCCTTACAGGATCTACTGAAAGAAGAAGAAACTAATATGGAGGACAACTGGAAAGGTATCAAAGAAACATTAACTTCAACGTGTCAAGAGATTCTAGGCCTCAAGAAGTATCATCATAAGGAATGGATCTCTATAGAAACACTGGACAGGATCAAAGCAAGGAATAACAAGAAGACAGCAATTAACAACAGCCGAACACGAGCAGAGAAAGTCCAAGCACAAGCAAGTGAAGAGGAGCATTAGAACCGACAAGAAGAAGTACGTGGAAGAACTTTACGATACAACGAAGAAACTAGCAGGGAAATATAGTAAACCAGTGAGACCGGTCAAGAACAAAGAAGGTAGGCCAATCACTGAAATTCAACAACAGCGGAACAGATAGACAGAATACTTCGAGGAACTATTGAATAGGCCGGCTCCAACGAATCCACCGGACATCGAAGCAACACACACAAATCTTCCTATGTATGTCAATCCACCAACGACGGAAAAAATGAGAATGGCCATCAGACAAATCAAGAGAGGGAAAGCAGCAGGACCGGACAATACACCAGCTGAAGCACTGAAGTCAGACATCGAAGTAACCACAAGCATGCTTTATCTTCTATTCAAAAAGATTTGGAAGGAGGAACAAGTGCCGATGGACTGGAAAGAAGGGCGCCTCGTCAAGATTCCAAAGAAAGGAGATCTGAGCAAATGTAAGAACTACAGAGGCATTACATTACTGTCAATACCAGGGAAAGTCTTCAACAGAGTTTTGCTGAACCGGATGAAAGACGCAGTAGACACCCAACTTCAAGATCGATAGGCTGGATTCCGTAAGGATCGATCGTGCACAGACCAAATGGAGACACTACCGCACATCGTCGAACAATCAGTTGAGTGGAACGCGTCACTATACATCAACTTCATTGATTATGAAAAGGCATTCGACAGTGTAGATAGGAGGACATTATGGAAACTTCTTCGACACTACGGAGTTTCTGAGAAGTTTGTCAACATTATGCGGAACTAATAAGACGGACTACAGTGAAGGGTCGTGCATGGAGGACAGCTGACAGATGCATTCCAAGTAAGGACCGGAGTCAGACAAGGCTGTTTACTCTCCTCCTTCCTTTTTCTTCTGGTAGTCGACTGGATTATGAAGACTTCGACATCTGAAGGAAAACACGGAATACAATGGACATGTCAGAATCAATTAAACCATTTATAATTCGCAGATGACCTAGCCCTCCTATCACATACACACAAGAGCAAATGCAGATAAAGACAACCAGTGTAGCAGCAGTCTCTGCATCAGTAGGCCTCAACATACACAAAGGGAAAACCAAGGTCCTCAAACTCAAAACGGAGAACAGCAATCCAATCACTCTTGATGGCGAAACTCTGGAAGATGTAGAATCCTTCACATACCTGGTTGGTGGCATCATCGATGAACAAGGAGGTTCACATGCAGACGTAAAGGCGAGGATTAGAAAAGCAAGGGCCGCACTCCTTCAATTGAAGAACATTTGGAACTCAAAACAACCGTCAACCAATATCAAAGTCACAATCTTCAATACGAACGTCAAGACAGTCAGTTCTACTGTACGGAGCTGAAACTTCGAGAACTACAACAACCACCATCAAGTAGGTACAAGTATTTATAAATAGGTGTCTACGCAAGATACTCAACATCCATTGGTCCGATACCATCAGCAACAGCCTTCTCTAGGAGAGAACAAACCGGCTTCCAGCTGAAGAAGAAATTAGGAAGAGACGATGGAAATGGATAGGACATACATTACGCAAATCATCAAACTGCATCACGAGGCAAGCCCGAACTTGGAATTCTGAAGGGAAGCGGAAAAGTGGAAGGCCAAAGAACATATTACGTCGGGAAATGGACGCAGATATGAAAAGGATGAATAACAACTGGAAAGAGCTGGAAAGGATTATCGAGGACAGGGTTGGATGGAGAATGCTGGTGAGCGGCTTATGCTCCTTCACGAGGAGTTACAGGCGTAAGTAAGTAAGTAATTGGTTAACAAGTACATGATGAACTGTAATAGCTATTGATTGTTATTCGATTGAATAACCTTTTATACTGCGATCAACAAGTTATTGAAAGAGCATAGAAGTTAAAAGAATTTAATTTTTGATGTTTCCAGTCTGCTGCTGTGTTCAGTGATACCGCTGTATATTATTAAGTTATCTAGCCAAGAAAGCGAAGGTAGAAAACATACCTCTAACTTTGTACTAAGATATTTTCAATGTATTGTAATTAGTTAGGAAAAAAAAGATTTATGATAACTATAATAACACAGAATGAAGTATTTGATCACTATATCTTAAAATAAAATGTGTACAAAAGAAACTCATAAAACCTTTTCTTCCATCATCTTCTTAATCACTTACGATTTCTTCATTCTTCTTTCACAGCCATTCACTCCCCTTCTATCATTTTCGCTTTAGACCTTTAATTCCTTACTAATTTGTTGCTGCATTGACGATCTTCTTAGCTACATTTCACCTCAATTATAACATTTTATCATCTCACCATGAGAAATTCCTTTCCAATTATATTTAAAATTAGCAAAAATGTATTCAGTCTCATTTACAAGAGATTTTCGGAAAAAAATATTTTTCTGATATATTTGACCGTTGTATAATAGTATATAGCTATCTTTTGCAAGTATTTTAATGGTGTATTTTTACGGTAATGTATTTTATGTCAAAAGCTGACTTTAGCTGGTGATCCATTAGAAATCAGGTAGGAGTGAACAGCTTTCTCATCACGGTTTAAAATTCTTTAATGATACTAATCTCACATTTTAACATGGCATAAAATTCACAACCTTCATGTTTTGAGCCACCCATTCCATCTTTCATGTGATAATCGGGTATATACACTATAAAACAGTACCAAAATAAGATAAATACAGCTTTCCAGTCATCTTGTGGTCAGTGCTTCACAGGTGTTTGCGTGAATTATGATACAAGTGTACTTTCAAGGTGTATTGATTTTTCACCAATGCATTTTGGTAAAGTAATTTATTTCATCAATCAACTGCTATTCTTGTAATTAAACCGCATAGCATATCAAATTACTTTCCCGAAGGGAATTGCTATGTCGACGAATTTTTCGATAAATGGTTAATGGCAGCTAAAATAGTGCATTTGTTTGTCAAAAATGATATAATTTCAAACAATATTATAAAATCGTATAAATATATTAGAAATATCCATGTGATCTATGCTTATATATTAAACTATATTCGTTTATAAATAAAAACCAGAATTACTCATCAAATCAGATTAAAACATTTTGAAGTTTAAATCACCGAATGATCTTAGATAGATTACTAGTGAAAATCATTTAGGACTGGATGACCGTCTCATGTGGCACTTCATAAGGGAATCGCATCATACGTAAAGGTTTAAGCTGTATACCAAATATTTTGGTTTAGAATAGCGTCTTTGAAAATAATTAATTAGTTGTGGTATTTAGGAAGATTGTCAGATCACAGAAATTTGAACACTCAACTATAAGTATGCAATCGACTTCATTGTAATTGTTAAAGGCGGAAGTCATATTAATGGTTTTTTTAATGAAGAAAGCGAATTCACCAATAGTTTTCAGCCTTAAAAGGGTTGCCATCCTTCTTGCAGACTGGGTATTATTTAAAATCAGATAATGATAGTTTTTCATTGATTATTACCTTTATTATGGTTTAACTTTTATTCAAACTGTGGCACCAAAGTACGAGTAATATTTTTTTAAAAAGATATACAACTCCATTTTAGATTTGTACCGATTCAGATATAAATATTTATTAAGAGAAAATTTCTAGTGATTTTATTTTGCTGGCAGTGTTACATATGAAAGTGAATAACTCGTCGGTCAAAACTTACGTCACAGGCATTCAAAACAATTAATCCCCATTATAAAGTATGACAGTTTTGATGTTTATACACAATGCTGATTGGTTTGTACTTTAAAGAGTGCTTAAGTCGAATAACAGTTTCATTCCATCAAGCTTGTACACTGACTTATCTCTAACTTGAATGATAGTTATGTCATAACTACTAAAATACGTAGTGAGCAAAACTTAAAACCATTTCTTCTACTTATTATAATGGTGTAATGAGAAGACAGAGTTGATTTGACAAATATTATGTATTTGCGGCACAAATTTTAAACGGAGTAATTACCCTAGTTTCCTATACACATATCATTAGAAGTATGTCTTTGACCAGATTTTTCTAAATTTATAGCACAAACCAGGAAATTATTTATTTTTCATATTACACAACGAGTACGAAAGATTTGCCTAAATGAGTATACACCATGACATTCAAAAATTTGCTCTGTCGGATTGGCATTATTGATTATTTAATTCCGCTATTATTTACTTTCCAAATGCTTAACTAATCCACCATCTCAAGCTTAACTAATCCAATTAGATTAGAGAACATAAAACGGCTCATGTTGGAATATTATCGAATGCTGAATGAATATACCCACAAATTTTGTGTAGATCTAAGCTTACAAACAAAACTAAACATTTATGAATGTTAGGTGAACAATCCACCTATTCATCTTAGCTTCCGTGAAGCTGGATCTAAATTTTCGTAAAACCACAGAGAAATTGTGTAACCTGGATTCGTTCATTTTATCAAGCATTCATCTTATTTGAAATCATCATGGAAAACTAAAATTTAAGTTAAAGTAACTTAGATGTTTAATTAAGAGCTTAGCCGAAATAGTATCTAAATCACATATTAAATCATAGAATAATCATTCTATGCTTAACTACATATTTTTAAAAACGTATAAAATTTTGTAAAAAAAACTCATTGTGAATGAACAGTGTAACATTGTTAACTAACTACTTGAAGATTATTGATGTGGGTAGTTTTCATAGAGATTCAGTTAGAAGCTGAAAATTTACTAACGTCATCTGTGATTGTCTATGTGACATTAGTTCAGATTTCATAGAATCCTCGAAGTCGCTGACTAATCTTGCTGATAAATCTTAACATGTCCAATCATTAAATTATAATATGTGTTTACTTCATTTCAGCATTGACTTCAATATGTTACGTTCACTGATTGATCGCAGAGTAGTAAGCAATATTAAGTTTGTCTAGTTCATTGTTGCGATTAAATTTATCAGTCATGTTGCACAAATCCCACATAGAGTATCAGTAACCTTATTGTTATAGGTACATCTTTCGGACAGGAGATAACTGGTACAAAGCCTGAATCTCACTCTCAATATCGACCGTCATAAGCCACTTATTGCAAGCGGTGGATCTACCATAGGCCTCATGAAAAAGATTTACATGCTGTTCAAGTTAAATCCAACGCTTTGTGAGTTTTATCATTTTTTATGCTAAGAGACAGTACATTTAAGGAAAAAAATAAGAGATAATGGTACAAAACAATTGGATAAATACCAATAGTTAACGATGTTCTTCAATATGAATCATGATTTCAACATATGAGTCATTAGTTAAAACACGTTTCTGTAAACAGATAACCATATCACAACAGGACAGATACCTATTAATAATATTCTTAAACACTGTAGATGACGTACTGACACTACCAGATAAATCAATTACTTACATTGTAAGAATAATCCCATAATAACGTACACGTATGAATCCCATAAATTTAAACTTGGTTCATTTGAAGGTGAAATTTTTGTATATTTCTCACATGAGGGTCTTGTATACTCGAACACAAATAACAATGAACCGGTCTGTTTAAATATAAAATTTGAGGTGATGAAGAAATGTACATAAGTTTTGGTCATTGCAAATAGCAAGAAATTATTAATCAATCAGAAATTATTATAGTTTATGACATCCATTTTACTTGAATACAAGATCGAAACTAATGAGTTTATGTAATTCATACGAAACTTTACTCTGCAAACTTTTAGTTTTTATTATAAGGTGATCTCAACGATACAATTGTGTCATTATTAGTTGTTATTAACAACTTTCACCCTTAAAATTCTATACATTTTTCGTCTTAACTGGATCATTTGCTTAATTTCCTCTCGTTCTTTTCTCTTTCAGAATCCTACAAAGTGTTCTGTATACTGTCTTACCAAAGTGTACTTTCATGTTAGACAGAAATCTATCAAAAGCTAAACATTATCTCATATCACATGGCATGTATGGTCTATATGTTCTACCACAGTTGGAAAAACACTATTTACTCAAATATGAACTGTGGAAAGGTATTTTCATTGCAGACTTATTTTCCTTCACGTGTCATAGTATATATTAAAATTTCTAACTTAAAATTGATCACAAGTGGTTTCAATAAAGTTATGTTTGAGATTAGATCTGAAGATTCAATTTCCGATCCTAGGTAAAACTTTGAATGTAAATTACTAAGTGATAACAAACGATGATCAGTTATTTTTTTTGATTTCGACAGTTCGTAAATTTATTTCATCATTTAACAAAAATCACTTTTAAATTATAGGTAATCTCTACAAACACAAGCAACCCAATAAAAATCACAATAACTTTGAAAATAGTTCAATACAAATGAATACTTATTAATATTATAGCAATGTATACTTACTGTCAATGTATATAGTAGAATTAATGACCAAATAGATGAATGGAATGTATATAAAAAATACATTCCGTTTAAAAATGATGAATCTAATTGACTTGAACAATTAGTTTTGAAACATTTCATAATTAATACTGGTTTGAGTTGAGTAAATGATCTAGTTATGTAAGGCAATGTATGTTTATTATTTACAAGGGTTAATGAACTATTTTCCATGTTCATTAGAATATCAGAAGAGAATTGAAAAAGACATAAGCTTTGATTGTTGGTTAAAAGCTAAATGAAAGATAATTTTTTAAAAAAAAAAGTGGTTTTGAAATTATGATAAGTTCAACAACAGAAGTATTTACCTAAATATCTGCTGTCTTATAACATGCATTTTTATTTAATATACTGAACAATGATTTTGAATGCTAAGAAACAGAGAGCTTCAGATAATTTTTACTTTTTAGATTGAGACTCTTAAGAGACTCAGATAAAAGAGGCTTTAAAAAAGTGCTAAACCACTTGATAACTGAATTCAAACTCAGTTTCTAAAGGTACCTAGTTACTGAAGAAACTTGAAGCTCATGTACTTGAAGTCATGAATGGACACCAAAAAGTACAAATCTATAAAAAAAGTGTCAATTATACCTTGTTTTTCCGTCGATGGAAGTCTATAATGAAAACCGAATTACAAGAATAAGTATCTGAAATTATACCCAGGTTTAACTGTTCTTATTAGTAGCTATTCCTCAGATAAAATATAACACCAGTTTCTGAACAACAAGTCAATAACAGTTTGATATGATAATTGTTCAAACAGAATTATATTATTGGTGTAAATGTTGACTTACACATCAATATTAATTTCTGTCACTACATGGGTTTTTTAATATAAATAAAATGGACTGAATGCATTTGTGTGGTTGTTCTATTCAATTTCTCTCTCTTCCTCTTTCTTCTGGTGGTCGACTGTATTATGAAGACCTCGACACGGCATATAATGGACAGACCAGAACCAATTAAACCATTTGAACTTCGCAGATGACCTAGCCCTCCTATCGCATACACACGAACAAAAGCAGATAAAGACAACCACTGTAGCAGCAGTCTCTGCATCAGTAGGCCTCAACATACACAAGGGGAAAACCAAAATCCTCAAACTCAAAACGGAGAACAGCAATCAAATCACTCTTGATGGCGAAACTCTGGAAGATGTAGAATCCTTCACATACCTGGTTGGTGGCATCATCGATGAACAAGGAGGTTCACATGCAGACGTAAAGGCAAGGATTAGAAAAGCAAGGGCCGCACTCCTTCAATTGAAGAACATTTGGAACTCAAAACAACCGTCAACCAATATCAAAGTCACAATCTTCAATACGAACGTCAAGACAGTCAGTTCTACTGTACGGAGCTGAAACTTCGAGAACTACAACAACCACCATCAAGAAGGTATAAGTATTTATAAATAGGTGTCTACGCAAGATACTCAGCATCCATTGGCCGAATACAATCAGCAACAGCCTTCTCTAGGAGAGAACAAACCGGCTTCCAGCTGAAGAAGAAATTAGGAAGAGACGATGGAAATGGATAGGACATACATTACGCAAATCATCAAACTGCATCACGAGGCAAGCCCGAACTTGGAATTCTGAAGGGAAGCGGAAAAGTGGAAGGCCAAAGAACATATTACGTCGGGAAATAGACGCAGATATGAAAAGGATGAATAACAACTGGAAAGAGCTGGAAAGGATTATCGAGGACAGGGTTGGATGGAGAATGCTGGTGAGCGGCTTCTGCTCCTTCACGAGGAGTAATAGTGGTAAATAAATAAGTAAGTAAGTCTATTCAACTCATTCTTTGTGTTCTTCCTAAAGCAAGCAATGGACATAAGTTTCATTCCATAATGTGACTCCTCAACTGTGCACGTCCGTGACCCCATCGTAAGTTTTCAAGTCAAATAATATCACGATTTTCATTGTTGAGAAATTCAATGATGCGCATGGAACTCTACGCTATTCACTTGATAGTAGTCAACGTGATACTGACTTTATCGATTAGTGAAACGTGTAACGATAATAAAAATAATTTAATTCACTACATGAGTCATCTAATTATGCAAATCACTTTATATTCAATATTATGATATTCCTTTCAAATATTGATCACGCATTAACCATCTTCATAGGACGGTGCTATCTATCACCCATAAGTTAAACTCTTTAAGGCTTTCATTGATGGGGATATACAGTTAACGATTAAAGTAGTTAATTTTAGTCTTCGCTTAAGATATAAGAGTTTAAAACTTAAAATAAATATAGTTTTCCTCACAGAACAACTGTTAATCAATTTAAAAATCAAAAAGCTCCTTCTATTAAAAAAACATTAGATATATTTTGAAAATATTCTTACCATACTGAGACAATATTCTACATTCGTAAATGAAACATTCAGTCTAACTGGTATACTCTGAATTGAATATTGAACTTGTGATAGATTGTCAGCAGTTAATAGATCCACTAGCAGTCCTTTTACAGTAGATTCGTTTTTCTTTGTGTGCTCTATAAATTCTGATAACTTTAAGCAATTAAAAGCGATTTTTGTATTGGAAAACACAATCATATATTATTACAATTATACGAATCGCTACTATAAATAAAGACTTATGAAACATTATGAGTTGAGACTTAAGGTGAATTGGTCAGTTTCTACCGTTATTATACAAATGATTAGCATCGTTTTCAATAAATGATATTGAAGCTAACCGAGTTCATTCAATTTATATGTCTTAAGAGAAATACTGTACGATATACAGGTTCCACCACTGTTTTTTTCATACTTCTATGATATCTTCGTTCAAAACCAGAGTTTTGTTTCCTTATAACGTTGTTTGATGTCAATAAATTTTTTCTTTATATGTTTGAATAATGGCTAGAAGTGAAATCCCGTTACGTTATTTCAACATATCTTCATCTTAATGTTGATGATTTGACTGAAACTCAGCGGAAACAACAGGAAAACACAAACCTGTTAAAAAATAATGAAGATCATATCCGTTGAACATTTGGGTAGGCATCGTGACTCATTTACTTAGTGGACAGAATGTATGTGTTGGACATTAAAATGCCAAATAAATCGAATTCTGTCGTTTTCAGAATTATTCAGGAAAGAAATATTCCAGCTATCAATTTTATTCTACTAACGCAGTCTGTTCATATTAGAAAAACATCTAAGACCGTTTCCACCTCATTCAATGCTTCTCCATCAAGTGTGAGTGAGTTGGCGTTCTCCGAGTTAAGGTTTGAGGATGTTACTTCTTCCTTTGCGTATGTTGAAATCTACTCCTGAAAATGCTACTATTACACTGGCTATCCTCACATGTATTTCTTTGTGTGTATGGAATAGAAGAGATAGGTCATCTGCAAAGTCCACGTAGTCTAGTCGCATCTGGGCTGTCTATTGTATTCCATGATTCGCCTCAGATCTTGAGGACTTCATAATCCAAACGACTAACAGAAGAAATAGATAGGGGGAGAATGGGCAGTCCGAATCCGGTCAATAATCAGGAAGCGTCTCCAAGCTGTCTTCCATAAATGACTTGGCAGTGTATTCCATCGTATGAAATTTTCATGCTGTTAGCGATGTTCTCAGCTACTAACACTACAGTATCGGAGAACGATCCACAGGGTTCTCCTATCCACACTGTTAAACTCTTTTTCATAATCAAGGAAGCTGTTCTCCAATCCCAGTGATTAGCTTGCCTCCTCTGTCCTTGATTGTTCCCTCTGGTTTACCATATTACCGTGCTCGCCTCCTTGTTGTATCATTCACTTCTCATATATTTCCTTTCCTACCAGCTTGTTACGATGCTAGATCTTCAATGCATTTCTCCTTGTCATCACTAATGCTCCACTCCATTTACTTGTTTACTTCTGTGTATTCAGCTTGTGCCTTGACTTTCTCTGTTCTCGTTCGATTGTTGTTAATTGCTGCCTCCTTCAGATTCGTTTCTTGAATCTTTATCACGCTTCCCATAGAGATTCATTCTTGACATCCAGCACTTACTCACACATTGAAGTCAGTGCTTCTTTCATCCCTCTCCAGTTGTTCTCCATGGCAGTTTCTTCTTCTTTCAGTAGATCCTGTAAGGCTTGCAACCTATTGTTGAGAGCGATCTTCAATTCATCCAGTCGGTCAGTGTCTCGGAGGAAAGCTATATCAAATGTTCATAGTGATGTTTCTCCAGTTATGTAGTGTTGTTTCAGCTTCAGTTTCATCCTCGCCACAAACAGTTGTTGGTGAACTGAAGCTATGTCTGCTTCTCTCGTGGTTCTCACGTCTTCCATGAATCTTCTAACTTTTTTACTGATGCAAATATGATCGATCTGGTTCTGTGTAGTATGATCCGTTGAGACCTATGTAGTCATGTGTATGCATTTAATGAATTCACATAAATTTGCTAAGCTCTCGTCATTCGAGTTTCTTTCTCTCAGTCAGTTCATGTCGTCCCATGATATCTCCCTACCCGATGTCGTCCATATCAGCACAACAAGATGAGCTTATCAAAATGAATACTAAAGTAGTGAGTGCAGCAGAACCAGTTGTAGTAAATGTAGTTAGGTATACGGAATACGGTTCAAGAAAAAAAAGTTAGTTTTCGGAATTAAGCTTAAAAAATAATTTTGAAACTCAGAATCTGAAGGGAAACAAATAGTAAATACACCTATATCACATCACGCTCCATCTACCACAGTTAATTACGTTAATCACACAACTCCAACCAGGTATCCTGAACTTATTAAGGTGACTCAATTCAGTGTTTAGTGACTTCATAGACAGATGCTTCGTCTGAATATAGCCATCCTTAGTTTTTCCCAACCTATTCCTCCGCCGCCAGTCATCACATATCCACTCAGGGAACGGTCAATTATACGTCATACATTTCCAGGAATACAATTCAATAGTAACACTTTGTAATTTGATGCTGTTAGCGTCAATGGTGAGTATGGAAATCGATGAAGTCATAGAAGAAAGATGATAGTGGGAATAGAATAAGTATTAAAAAGTGAGGAAGGTATTGATCTCGGACATGACCTTGAAAGCTACTAAAGCTATGAGGATGGTCATCTTTTTCAGATTTCAAAACTGTGGAAGGATATTATTCCTAAAGTGTCTGGAATGGGAACTGGGTTAACAGTGGTCATGTCAACCCATTATCGTGACTCCAGGGACCAAAAGTCAGTTACCTGAATCAGTTACATATGTCCACTGAGTAAACGGTTTTCGGTGTGTTAGCTCGGGAGCATCCATGCCTTTCTTCCACAAACGGTAATCAGAGGAGTAAGGTTAATTTTGGTATCCTTAGGGTCAATTATTCTTACACCCCTAACCAAGTTGTACGAAGACAGCACCTGATAAACTCTATAAATATCAACAGCTTACTTATTACCTTATGGACATTGTTCGATCCATAATGAATAACATAGCAACCCCAATATTAATCTTTTACAAGCAACAACCCTTCATTTGTTCACAGGTATTAAAATATGGGTGGTTCTTTGATTAGCTCCACTAGCAATCATCGAAAACATGTCAGCTCTATTTTTGAACTCGGTGGCAAAACACGACAAACTACAATTATCCAAGTGAGTTACATACCTATGTCTTACGGTTAACCTTGGCAATGACATATGAATTTTGTTCTTCGACTTAACCTTAAGTGAAACGGAAACCTTAATTATTATCTAATGTAAACGCTAATTGATGCACATAAATGAATGACTCTCAAAAACAAAAAACTTCCAATGTCTCCAAGTGTAAGCTTGAATCTTGAAACTAGAAAATTATCCAAAAAAATAGATAATTTCATATTTTTTTAAAATTATCATAGTTGATTACTTACTTGAGGAATGAATACTGTTTGTGAATTTGTATGCACCATACCTTTATAAAAAATGTGCATATTTCATTATAATCTTTTTACTTACATGTCAATAAGAGAGCATAATATAATACCGAGTAACTTATTACCAATGGATTATGTTTTGTAGATAGCACCATCTCCATCATGATAGCAAATTCAAGAAATAACAAGATAGAATATTATCGACTATGAATTCTAGCGACTTGATAAAAATTCTTCTTACGATATCACAATATTGTTTATCATCTGTTTTAATCTATTGGTGTTGTAAATCCCAAAGCTTTCACGTTCCTGGAACAATATGATACTGTGTACTCGGCTTTACAGTAACATCAGAAACGAATACGTTTGTGTGTGTATAACATAGAGATCAACACTGAGAGAGACAAATATTTACACATAAGATTTCAAATATAAACCTGACTGGTTTGATGTCCAATTTAAATTTAGCCATACACATTTTATGTACAAGTGGACACAAATTAATTCATTAACACAAAACTGTAAACATGCATATATCACTCATACTTTGTTTATGAATACATGATAATCAATAATAATGAAATTGGTTCGATATGAGATTGTTCGTATTAATTTGCTCTATTTATGTGTTGACACATTTATGTTGACGACAAAATCAATCCATAAATAAACCTTCACTATTTATTATTATTATTATTATTATTATTATTATTATTATTATAGTAACACAACTTTAAAATAATTAATAGTTAAATAATAGGTCACGTTTTCTAGAAAATAAGTTTAATTTGATGTTGAAATCTCGTCTACTTACAGAGTGAAACAAGTACAGAAATGTAATGAGTAAAAATGGTTTGGAAATAATTAAGGAATTCAAGCTCATTTCTAGGCATATTCATAATAATACATAAAACTATGTTACACGTGAAGGACAAAATTTTGCAATTAGATTTTCACAATTAAAATCGCGAATCTAACCAAGCTAGACCACCATTGAAAACCTAGAAGCACCGGGCAGCTATTTTGTCTATGTAAGTTACTCTTCAGCTGTGCACACCCAGAATCCCGCACAAGGAACTCAGAACCAGGATTTTCGGTCTCACGCACAAATACTTGAACTTGAAACCACTGCGAAAGCATACAACAACATTAATGCCTAACCTCACAAGTCCCCCTACTAATATCGATCGTGTGTTCAGTAGCGACCAGCTCGAAGATGTCACTCCGGGAGTTCTAGTGAGAAGTCGTGACCAGTGGAATCCAATCCTCGTCGGGCGTGAGACTGTTATCCACCACAAGTAATGGACGAAGGGTTGTGCAAAGTCATAGTTTGATTGAATCTAGATATTAACGCTGTTGAATTCCAGGTCCATTGTCTAAAGATAAGGCATTCGCGTGCGAGACCGAAAGTCTTGAGTTCCAGTTCCTCGTGCAGGATTGTGGATGTACGCAGTTGAAGAGTTTCATACTAGGGTGAAAAGATCACACAGTGCTTACAGATTTTCAATGGTAGTCTAGCTTGGATAGATCCGTGATTTCAAATACAATTTTAACAAATCACCTATATCAATAGTAAATTGTTCGAAAATTTTTGTTTCACAAATTATTTTGAGATATTCATCATAGGAGTCGTAATAATGTGAGACAGCAGTTAGAAACTATTATTCTCAGTAGGAGGATTACAACATTTTATTGAAGTATAATCAATGTATCAAAGGGCGATTCCGGTACAGTTACAAAGTAATTGCAATTATTTAAAGCTAAAGAATAGGGAACGGAACAGAAAGCATAGAAAAACGGTAGCAAACAATTCTGTGATAGGTCTTATATTATACATATGTTAGATTGGTTTATGACCTACTGATTGTGATAGATATTACCTTAATCAAATTCACTAGATACAGTGTAAATGTATAACATCTCGAACATCGGAATTTTAAAATATATGCTGTGTAGCAACAATGATCAAACATTTAATATTTCTGTAATCTTATTAGTTTAGTGGGATCTATTCAATGGTGTAAACATTTCTAAATCACCATCGAAGGAGAAGTAAAAATCGATGCCGAAAAAACAAACTATAGCAGTGATTTGATTTCACGTACAGTTTAAGTCATGTTATTCCAGAGTTTCGAAAATCTACATATAAACCAACTCAATGATAGAGAAAATTTAGAATAAAACGTTTTCACTTTTGATACAGAGTTATGAATGATGTAATTAGGTGTTGCAGCATATTGAATTGTAGTAAAGTTTGTGAAAGATGGTTCATATCTTTTTTTTTGAAGAACAAGTTTCCGCTTCCATAAAGTAGTAGCCCAACTTCAATGCACATGGCCTTTAATTTAAGGTACAATCATTTACAAGAATATGAAGTGTAAACTGCAACTGGAGTATTTCTGATCCACATTTATCCTTTACTCAAATACTATTCAGAATAAAATTTCTATCTACTGGACAAATATTTTGCACATTTAAACACGCGAGTCACTGTGGTAGAGGTTACGTAGTATACAACGCAGACGTCTTTGTGACGTAGAAGAGTATGTGAAAACTTGTTCTATGAAGTACAGATTGCAGAACTACCCAATTCAACCACTGTAGGACACATGGAAAATACCCTGACATCTATGGTGAAGCCAAAATCGAGAAGAAGATTACCAAAGTCGATCCCTTCAACTTAAACAACTATAAGTTCCCGATTCCTTTATTGTGGATCACCAAGCGACGTTACTGAGTTCCACCTCATACAGTTTTGTTCATTGTTCAGCTCATGAAGAGAAAAAATACATTATTTTCAGAACACTAGCATATAGAAGTGACATACTCATACAAAAGCGATTGCAAATATTATTTATATAAGTTATAAAGAGCAAAAAACTTAGGACACTACTACCACTTTTGACAGAGTCACCATCCAATACGGAGCAATTCATTTCGAATATTTAGTGTCCATGACTGAGTAAGGAATTAACCCAAGCAAGTAGGTGACCTCTGATCCCTTAAGATGTGAGTTTTCATATAAGAGGCTGGTGGTTATCAATGCCGAAAGCTCTAGAAATATCAAACTAGCACCAAGACTAGTTATCCTAGACTACATTGAGTAAAGACTAAATTAAAGAAGTAATAGTGATGGGTCATACAGGATCTAACTTTTAGGTATCCACTTTGCATATAGCTGAAAATGTCGTCAACACATTTTCCATTATCCTAAAGATAGCTGTAAAAATATTTGTTAACCGATAATTTTCCGTTAGCTTTCCCACTAGATTTATGCCACGGTATAATATATGCGGTTTTCCAACAGTAAGGATAATTCCCTGTTCTCAGAGAGGGAGATAGAGATTAAACAGTTTTAGAATTAGTGAAATTTTAAACTTACAATATTTGAAGTAAATGGATGCAATTCCACCTACTTCATGATTGTACGAGATCTTAAGGGAGGTTATAGCTGATTTCGAGATAAAAGACATAGACAAATCGTAAAAAGGTACTATTCATAAACGTGAATTCATAAATGAAATCATTTGAGTGTTTATTACTATTCACAAGAATACTACTGGGAAGGTTTAAGATGGTTTCAGAATTTTTTCATATGCCGTTATGCAAAATACAGGGGATATCTGTATTTTGAGATTCTCTAAAATGCTTATTGAAAATAATAACCACGATTAATACTTTTGAACTACTACTAAGTGCTGACAACTCATGGATAGCTTCCAACCTATGAGTATTTATTTATTTAAACACATAAACATGGGTACAAGGAGGCACTAAATACATATGCGCCACATAAATTATTGGATTTGTGTGAGGGCTGGAATACTGCCCGGGTGCCTAAACCGAAGCAGGTGGTTATCTTAAGGGGCCACACCCTGAGCCTTTGACCTAAAGGTCTGATCCACAAGGCAGTGGAGCAACGTCAGAAGGTGCAGTCCCATGGTAGCCTATGAGTTTCTTCAATCTAATTAAAAATTATAGTTATCTGTTCAGATTGCAGTGAACTTATTCAACTTGAAGCAAGGTCCCATTCAGCATGACTATAGTCCCTATATTGACTGGTTTCCTTTCTAAGTGAAGACTTTTAGAGGGTCAGAGAATTGTAAGAAGAGTATTGAAAACTATTTTATGGTCAATGTTTTTTTTATAACTACTGATTCTTTTGTTTTCAGCTAGTGGTACTCTTTAACAGCTAAATAGTATAGCACTGTTATGGTTTTAAGAATAAAACTGATGTAATGGTCAACCGATTTGTTTCAATATAGTCTGTTTAGTGAGTGAAAGTAACTGTAAAACAACGGAGAAGATATGATCACGAACAATCTAATACTAATGTTCATAACAATGCAATTCCAATGCTTTAGTTTCAAATAATGCATGTTGCATATTAATTTCATATGTATTTACCTGAGTAATAACACTATACTAACTAACAGATAGGTTTGAGAGACAAGAATAACAATAACGGTAACCAGAAAAACAAAGTAGTTACATAACTACGAACAATAACATTACCGAACTCTGAAATAAGAGGAAACTACGAAGAAATTAGTAATCCTTTAAGTTGTATGATAACAACTTAATGATAAATTTACAGTTTGTCTTTTTAAGACACATTTTGAAAAAATCTTCTTACTGTTATGTGAAAGAAAAGATTTGAAATAAATTCTGTGAAAAAAGGTATTATCACTTTCAGTCACTGAATGCTTCATTTGGTATTCGACAAATATTAGCTTATTTCATTCTTTTTCGATACGTCAATAGATGAATCATTTAAAGTGACCTTTTCATTTAAACAGAAAAGTTGTACCATTTATACAAATATGTGCCGATAAAAGTGAAATGAATGTGTTTTTTTTTAGTTAAAAGTTGTTATTTGTTAGATTTTTTTATAAACGAAGGGTTAATGAAAGATTTTAATTCAATTAAATATTCTCATTCAGACATTGAAAATATCAAAATGATACAATCATTGAGTCTTTCCGAAAAAAAAACCATCTTTCAAAGTTGAAATTACAAAATATAGAACGGTTGGTGACCAAAATTATCATCTGACTTTTACTTGAAATTTCTTTAATTTTACTATGATTTTCATTGTAGAGCGACCTCATTGACAGAACCGTTAAAAACCAGTTTGCTTTGAACAACCGTTTATCTGAAGTAATCCAGGGACTAATTTAGGGATTAATAAATATGACTGCTGTGTAAATTAATCTGAAATACTGAGTATCAACTCCACTAATCGAACGAATGGAACCAAAACCTGTGGTGGCGTTGAAATAAGGAAACAAAGGAATCGATTACCCGTGTCTATCTAAGCACACTATTATAGCATTGACTACAATCTACTTGTACCTAAATTCTACAATGAAATGGGTCTTCGAGTTACAAAAAGAATATTCACGTCTCACGACAAGCCTACCAGTCAATAGACTGGGGTTCAATGCCACATGCTTCCCAATACTTAGCACTGTTAATTATACATTGTGGTTTGTGACGACATAACGTAAAATAAGATAGTTATTTCCTAGACATTTGTCCGAATATCAGAGAAACGTAGTTAATTTTTAAGAAATGAGATTAACATTAATGTTAGAGTAGAATGCTTGTTAAAATTCGAATATTCATAATACCGGAATGGATATTAACTTTTCAAATTACTTATCAGTAGTAAATCTGATTATTATAAAATGTTTACTTAGAAAATAGTTTACAACACAAATTAGCTGCAAATAAATAACCATTGAAAAGCAGAGAGCATTAGATATAATTTCTGTCCTGGTATGAAGCATCTCAGTAATATGAATCCATGACCATGAAACTTCATGGTGAGTATGCGATTCGGAACTACCGAGTTAATGTCCTATGGTTCACATCAACTTGTCTATTTGCCAAGTTGAGAACATCAGTCACATGCATTAGATAAACCAGTCTCATATTTGATATGATTGAACTCCATCAGTCTCACCTCGAACCGAACAATCTCCGGAAACATTCCAAGGTTAATTTTTACAGATTTCCAAGTTAATTGTCTAGGTGCATGAATAGCAAAATGTTTCGGAACATGAATTTCGAGCATCGTACAATACACCAGATGTATAGATCCACTTTATTTGCACAAAAGATAATGCACACAACAACCAATTAGTATATCTACTTCAGACTTGTAGTAGATCTTTTCCATTTCTAATCGTTTGGATTCACTGAGTTGCGATATTTCGTATCGCTGAGGCAAAGTTATATCATCCGACTGATGTCAATTATGAAGCTCAGGTAGGACAGTTTTAGTCACTGCCTCCCACATTCACAGCCACATTTGACCAAAATTTTGTACATATGTTATTCTCTATATTATGGTACGTTGTGTTCTGTTTAATTGGTATATAAACCGAGTATGTTTGAAATACAGAATTCATATTCCAGAGACTAAGATCGGTGTTCTGGACTCACTTGACTGGGCTAGGCTGAAAGCAGCACCGATCAGAATTCTAGGCTACTTGCACGTGTTTTAGGCGTCCTTGGTCCGATCGATAATTCACTGCTTCTGATTGGCGGTGTTATTACGTTATCTATTAACAGGGCACTCAGGCCATAAGTTATAACATTTCCACAACCACAATTATTAAGAACCCATGGAATAAGTTCACCACTATATTTATAGTTCGCAGTATGAAACAATATATGAAAGTGTGATGGGCTGGACGAACTCAAACAAATCATGTGCTTGTGCGCATATAACAGAAGAAAAAAAGGGGAGAATGGGCAGCCTTGTCCGACTCCAATTCTTACACGGAATGCATCTGTGACCTGACCACAATGCACCACTTTGCAGTGTTGTCCCTCTCTAGTTGTTCTCCATGATAGTTTCTTCTTCTTTCAGTAGATCTTGTAAGACTTACCTTGCTCGCCTCCTTATTGTATCATTCACTTCTCATATATTTCCTTTCCTACCAGCTTGTTACGATGCTAGATCTTCAATGCATTTCTCCTTGTCATCACTAATGCTCCACTCCATTTACTTGTTTACTTCTGTGTATTCAGCTTGTGCCTTGACTTTCTCTGTTCTCGTTCGATTGTTGTTAATTGCTGCCTCCTTCAGATTCGTTTCTTGAATCTTTATCACGCTTCCCATAGAGATTCATTCTTGACATCCAGCACTTACTCACACATTGAAGTCAGTGCTTCTTTCATCCCTCTCCAGTTGTTCTCCATGGCAGTTTCTTCTTCTTTCAGTAGATCCTGTAAGGCTTGCAACCTATTGTTGAGAGCGATCTTCAATTCATCCAGTCGGTCAGTGTCTCGGAGGAAAGCTATATCAAATGTTCATAGTGATGTTTCTCCAGTTATGTAGTGTTGTTTCAGCTTCAGTTTCATCCTCGCCACAAACAGTTGTTGGTGAACTGAAGCTATGTCTGCTTCTCTCGTGGTTCTCACGTCTTCCATGAATCTTCTAACTTTTTTACTGATGCAAATATGATCGATCTGGTTCTGTGTAGTATGATCCGTTGAGACCTATGTAGTCCTGTGTGTATTTGTTGGGGATATAATGGCACTCATGATCACTTTGTGGAATTCACATAAATTTGCCGAACTCTCCTTCCTTTCTCCCAGTCAGTCCATGTCGTCCCATGAAATCTTCATACCCGTTGTTGTCTATTCCGATTTTGGCTTTTAGGTCTTACTTCAGAATCGTTAGACCATTCCTTGTGTACTTCTCTATGATTGATTGTATCTCTTGATAGAGCTGATCTTAGTTATCTTCTTTACTATCATTTGTGGGTGCAGAACATTGTGGTTGTTGACCCCATGCACAACCCTCCACCTTTGCCTGAGCTTGTGAACGGCAGTAGCCCTAGAAGAGCTACAGATGGAATTATACTGTCTAAAGCTCAGACGATGAGTGAGAGAAGATATCATAAATTAAATATCTACATAATGTTCGTGCATAACCGCTCATATCATGAAATTAGGGCTCACTATTAATAGATGGATTCGGAATTGCGACACTCCACGGATACAGAGGTCGATGGGAAAATATTATTTGAATCAGATGGAATAGCAAATAAACAAGATATATTGGATGAAATTAGACAGAATCCATAACTAGATAGATCTTTTCATTCGGTAATTTTGTCATTACATGCCAACTTTCATATTAAAATCCTTAGGGTCATGAGTGCTGTTAGAGGTATGAGGGCGGTTATCACTTCCCAGTTGCCCACACCGTGGAAGGGTTGTTCTGGAGGTACCTGAAAAGGAAATTGGATTAGAGGTGGTCTTAGTGACCTGGGAGCGTGACCGCAGTGCCAAAGGACAAGTGCTCGAGGTCGGTCACACACGACCTTTTAATGGGTAATTTTTGTGTTAGCTCCGTACTTGTTGAGACCTTACCGCCTGACGGATTTCCGTGGGATAAGGCTCTGTGTTCATTTCTAGGGTCGACCTTTTCTAACCCCACCCCTGCTTGAGGGAAGGCAGCATCGCTGTCATGCTGTTTGTCTGAAGGAAACACCTTACCGCTGCCACACCTCTGTACAGTCAGCAGTATGACTTCGGACCTTATGTTTGTTGCTTTTAGTCTTACCGCTCATCAACCGACCTGTCTGACATGGTAGGACCTTGAGGAACAGTTATTCAAGCCAGTATAGCTCGGTTGCTTCATCACGATAGACAAGTCCGACCACCACGTAAAGGTAGCAACAACGGTTGGGGTAGGGTGCAGGTGGGATTAAATAATGCTAAAGGTCGATTAATCAACCAGCGATTGCTTTCCATCAAACAAGTGAATTGAACTGGCTGATACTGAATGTACCAATATGAAACTTTTGGTAAAATCCACCCAAGATGCATTTGTAACTGAAAGATGGTCGCAGATCTTCTGATGGTAATGTTATTGAATATTTCGTCTGATGATGTGAAATTGAGATTATTTATCCACGTCACCAGAATTGTGATGTTTTGATTCAATTACGATTTACAATTCCTACTGTATCCAAAACTCAGTACACAAATAAAAAGACTGAAGGAAGGTATAGCTCCCAGACTCGAATAGTGAATACGATTTTCTTCGCTTATATTTCACCTAGCGTTTGGACTTGAGATAGCATGTGATTAAAGGCCTGCGATATGTCTGGATCCTCCCAGTTAGTGTTTTGAGTAGAGATTCAGAGAAGAAGACTTAGATATTGACCAAAAATGTAAAATACCGGCAAGTTTTTTGAACTGACAAAACTTTGATCATTCCCATAATTTGCAATTGGAAATTTTTTGCTGAGAATAATAAAACTCATTGAAAAATGCAAATCATGTTCATAAAATATATCAGTCTGGTTAAAATGAATTACGGATAAGTGAAAGTATTTCCAAAAGAAAACTAATCTGTTCAAACAGAATTCACTAGTCGATTTCCAAGTATAATACGTAGGAATTATTTATATGCCTTGAACAGCCAAACGGTAGCTATGTCCGAAAAACGTGAAAGCAGCCACGAATATGTCAAAAAATATGAGAGCAAGTATCGGCGATTCATTTGTAACGCGTTTTCTAAAACAGCGTCGTGATAAAACAAAAGCTTATTTATGAAAGGTTAAATATCGACCCAAGAAAGGGAATAAGATCAAGGTACAAGTATTTTACTGATAATTTACTTAAGTAAATAGTTAGCATCAAAAGATGAGTTTTATTTGATAAACTTCACTTTTGATTCTGATAAAGGTTCCTGTTTTTTTCATAAACACAGGGCAGTAGGTGAAGCTAATCAAATGAGGAATAATATATTACAGGTGGTAAACATAGTACATCGTTAGACACAGTGGTTTTAATGGTTATATGTTCGTCACAATACCCCAAGATGATGACTACGATCATTGAAGAATTAATGGGAGTGCACTTTTGAGGTTTTTAATGCCACCTAATGAAGGCTGCAAACAACAAATAGTAGTTACTGGGAAAAAATTCACCTGATACAATTAATTTATTTAAATCCGCCAGTGGATACATCAAAAAGCAGTTCTAAGATGAACACAATAAGAAACTACGTGACGTTTGTAGAAAGCAGGAATACAGAAAAAACAGTAACATGTATACGTATGTATATAAATCTTATTGAAAAACACGATTGATACTTCGTGATATTCAAAGAATCGAGTGTCTGCAGTGGAAATAGAATTTCAGAAAACTTTTGATTAATCTGTGTTCAGGATCATTTTAAATCGTCAAATGAGAAACGGGAAGTGTGGAAAGAAACACAATGAAAAACGACTAGGATGTTAACAAATTTCAATATTAAATTTTCTTTACAATACATTTCGAATGTACATGAAAAACAGTATAAAAAAATGCAAAGGTGTTCACCAACATCCTCAAAATTCATTAGTGAAACGATTAAGTGTACTGGCTTTAAATTTATCATCCACTGCATAAATATCCATTACTCGAAGTTGGATTTGTTCAACTATTTCACGGGACAAACTATCTGAAATAGCCTTTGAAAAACAAGAAATAGTTTTAAAATTATTGACCAATACTCTATAACGCATAGATAAATTTATCTATTAACAAAACATTTTGATGATCAAGTCTTTAGAATCAAACGAGTGCAGTCAGTCAGTCAGCAACAACGTAGAACTTCGTACGTACGTACATCAGTTCGAGTTGCCATACCACATTAGCACAGAGATGCAGTTGTCGATTCAAAACATGTAGTGGTAGAAATAGTGAGAGTATAAGCAGTATTCGGAAAGATTAGGGATTGAAGATATTATTCAAGGAGTATAATTCAATGAAATAAATTTGGAAAGAGAAAGAAGGGACATGAAGAATTCAGAAGATTAAAATTTGGAAGAACACAGAGTAAATGCACCTGCGCCATCGCAAACGATTTTGAGCCATGTCATTCAAGGTCTCTAACCATCGGTTGAACAGTTGTCTGCTGTTATCTATTGCCACTTTCTTTTCTATCTCTCTTGCTTTCGCTACCCACCACTGTTCGCGATCATTGCGTAGCCTGCGCTTAAGCGGACTTCGCTTTTCGTCATGTTCAGAGCCAGATGGGATGGGTTTTTGAGTATCCATCAGTGCAAATGGACGGGAAAAGTAAGTATGGCTTTTATTCTTAATTCTCCTCAACCACCTAGTATAGTGTACTCAATAATGATTCACTTGCTTAGCAACCTCACTGGGATCCGGTCAATAGTATATGACCACATAAAAGGGACGAGACAACAAGAAATGACCATTCAGTGACAAACATGAGGGATATTTCGCTGTCTTTTTTTAAAAAAGAACAGTTTTAACAGTGTATCACTTAATGGTCTAAATTGTTCGGTCAGAAAAATAAGTAGTCAGCAGATAGATTTAAATTCACAATAAAATTTCATTCAACGACTAAATTACGCAATAAAATGATTGGTCAGATCGTTTAGTAAACAATAACTGTTCAAGTCTATTAAAATACATGTTTAAAACTACTTCTACACCCTCATACAAAATAGTATTTGTGTTTTCTGCATAGTAAAGGTGTATTATTAGTCAACGACCAGATTATTATTTAAATGACTTTGATTACACCATCTGATGTATACGATATGAATCACATGACTACCTCAAACAACCTAACATAAAATTATTACTCCTGAAAATTATGTCAGAATTTTGTTTCACCCTCAGCTAAGTCGCATAAGTCTGAGTTAGACACATACCGTAATCATAGGACTCATCGGTATTGTGAATTTAGGTGCTAATTTGGAAATACACTGAAAAACATCATTAAAAGAAATGAAAACTACCTGCCACCAGGCCATTTCAGAGTGCCGATTACCAGGTATTTCAACACCAGCAATCCGTAAAGCTAAATGCAATACTGCTGCAGCGATATGCTCTGGGGCGAAATCTAAACACATAGCTGACTGATAAGAATCCGCCAGTATTGACCAAGCCAAGCCAGGAAGTCGTGCTAATGCAATTGCAGAAGCATTTACTGAATTTCCACCAGCGTTCAAATCGGACCCGCATGGCTGTGCTATACCTTTGCCAACCCAATGGAGTAATGAATGAAGATAATGAACTAGATATGGATGTGGTAGAGAGGGACGACGAACGTGATAAGCTAACAGTCGCATCAGAAACAATTCAGTTTGTACAAGACTTTCCCGTAAACGATCATAATCATCACCGACTTCCAAAGGACTACGACGGTTTTTGTGAAGTGTCCTGAAAAGAAAAATATTGGTGTGATAAGGCGTAAATGCTAAAAATCCATTGGACAATTAAGATTAGATGAGTTTAAAAGGATATTGGAACCCATGTGTCCCACTTACAAGCACTGAATTTCTTCTGGCTCCTTACAAAACACTGAAGCCCGTCGATCTACTCCGTGAGTGACCGTGAGTTTGACCACAAACGACGACTGTTATATAATAAAATTGTTCGAAGCTTGCGTAATGGCCGAGAAGCCTGGTGGTCGAAGCGTTGGAAGCAGCAGGTGCATCCGGTAACTTCCGGAAGCTCTTCCAACTCATCCGAGCCATGGGCAGCAAGAACACTGGTATGAGCGAAACAACCTGTGAATATGACGGGATGCCAATCACTAACATCCATCGACGTCTTAGACGATGGGCAGTTTTTCGAAGAGCAGTTCAACTGGTCCCTTCCCTCCACAACCTGTGACGACTGATCCACCAAATGAGGCGGAAGTCCGCAAGAAACTCCAAATCTTGAAGCGCTACAAATCACTTGGCCCAGATGTCTTACCTCCGTCTCTTTTTAAACATGGTGGTGACTTTCTGACCAAGGAACTGACGACGCTGTTTACAAAGGTTTGGGAACTAGAGAAAGTACCAACGTCATGAAATGAGTCGATGGTTTTCCCTATCTTTAATAAGGGTTCACGTCGTTCCTGTAACAACTATCGGGGGATAAGTCAACTTCCCATTGCGTCCAAGCTATTGGCTTCCGTCATACTTCGTAGGTTGTTCAAAATCCGAGAAAGATTGACTCGCGAAGAGCAGGCTGGGTTTCGTTCTGGTCGGGGATGTATTGATCATATCTTCACCCTCCGCAAAATGTTAGAACACCGCCATACTTATCAAAATCCAACAATCGCAGTGTGTCTTGACATCAGGGCTGCCTTCGATTCGTTGGATAGGACTGTCCTCTGGAATTGTCTATTGAAGAAGGGTGTGCCTGAGAAGTTTATTAACATCCTAAAAGCCCTATATACAAACACCTCAGGTAGAATGAGGGCATACAACCACCTTTCTCCATTGTTCCATTCGAGCAATGGGGTTAGACAGGGTTGCACAATCTCACCATTCCTCTTCAACTTTGTCATCAACGACATTCTGGAAACAGCTCTGATGGATGTAAGTAATGGTGGTGTGGATCTGTTGCCTGGAGAAAGACTTCTTGACCTTGAGTTTGCGGATGATATTGTCTTACTGTGTTCTACGAATGTCGTCCTAGAGAATTCCACGTCGTGCATTTTTGGCGACAATGGGATTGGTTGGAAAGAGCGGAGGAGTGGTCAGTGTATGACATGGTGTCGTGGTATGAAAGAAATCTGCAAAGAGCTGGCTTCTGTTGGTCCTTCTCGACTCCCTGGCCGGGCTCCGAGAGATGGTGTAACACAGTGGCTAGAGACGTTATCAGATATGGCTCAGAATAGAAACCAGTCGCGATCCTGCTGTAACTTTATTTTACTTTCTTCATGAAAAAAGACGTAACTTCTTTAAGTGAAAGAATTCTCTGTGGCTTTACTTTTGCTAATTAAACTGCCTCTCCCATTATTACTATTTCACTAACATACACCGATTTTTGTTCATTGTTGTACTTCTTTTTTCTTATACACATCTTACAGTCTTTATTTCTTCACATTCTCATTATTATTGTGTGGCGCCTATATATTTGGTGCCCCTTTTTACCAAAATTTGTGCTCAAATAAATAAATAAATTAGATAACTTTATGAAGCACTTATACTCGAAATACCACTTGGAACTTCACGTTGCTCAATGACAACATACACGTGTTCCCAGAAAGCGCGTAGAAAAATTTTGACAGAACAGTGAAGTTTGTGGAAATCATAGAATTTTAAAAATCTAAATCATAAACTAATTTCAGTGAAACCACCATTGGAAACATGGAAGCACAGGATGGTCGTTTTCTTCAAGCTTTAAAATGCGACTCTTGAAGTCCAAGTGAGAAGCGTAACAGGTGGAGTTTAATCATGTTTGACGTGAAACAGTTATCCATCACAGGTAATAGATAATATCCGAGTAACATCGTGAATTGGATGAAGTTGATTACTAAAACCGTTGGATGCCAGCTCAGTGATCTACAGATTAAATGTTTATGTGCAAAACCGACTGTAATGTGTTAAATTGCTGAATGCAGGATCAGGGATGCACACTGTTGAGGAGTCCCGTACTCGGACAGTGATCCACTGCTCTCAGGTTTCTAATGGTGGTCCAACTAAGATCAGTTTGTGATTTAAACTATGAAGATATATTTTAGATTAAAATATTACACCTGTACCTGTAATAAGAAACAATCACATCACGCAGCCGTTGGTGTTCTTCTTGTACTTTACCGCCAAGGCTGATAGATGCCATAGCAATCGTCTGAATAATGTAAAACAAGGAAAATAAAACATAAAAATATGAGGGGATATTCATATTGAAACGAAAAACATAATAAAGTTATTCGTTTAAAGCAAAACATCTATCGACTGTTAACAAATTATTTGTCAAACTATTTCTAGACTAGACTAGACTAGACTATATATATTGAACTGAACAAAACCCGATTACCGAATGTAGAAATATACGACAAGTCTGCTTTTGGTATAATTACTAAACAAACAACCATTAGTGAAAATGGACCAAACGTACGAGACAAGAGAAATTTATGCATGTATGTTGATACAAAATTGAACAGTGCCATTATGGTTCTTTGGTTCAATAAAACAGTGAAACAAGGTTACACTAATTTCTATAGCAGCTACTTGTTACACGAACATGTGTTTACTAGCAAATATAAAATTCAATTAAAAAGGAAATGGAAACATCTCACAACCTTATAATCAATTGATTTGTTTTTTATAAATATTTAGAATATCCTACCAAAAATTTTGAAACACTCCGAATTGCGGATTTCTGTATACTCTATGATAATTATGTAACTATGAACAATTACAGGACAATGATATAGCATGTATATGTTATGTTTTGTCTATCAAATTAACCGTGCATTGATAAGAATGTCAAATGCACTCGTTTGATTTTATCGAGTACTGTTTCAAACGACAAATGCATTCGATATTGAATGTATGGTTATTTAAAGATCAGACTAATTTCATCATTTTTAGGGTCAATAATTTGTTTTTAAGTCAACAAACAAAACTGACAAGGGAGAACACAAACAACCAGGAGTTAGTTTTTTATAATTAGATAAAAAGACACCTGTTTCACGCCATTTTTAGAAAAAGAATAATAAGAAAAGTGAGTAGGAAAAAGAATGAATATATCAGAAAAGTAAGTCATAGTAGTTAGTAATTTTAAAATCATTACAAAGAAATTAGTTAGTGGACAGTAAAAAGGAAAAATGAATTAGTTTAGTCATGTACTAAATAATTGGTTTGGTAAAATATGATAGTTTTAATGACATATTTTCAAAGAGTAAAATAAGGACCTTACATGTGCATCGATATCTCCCAAGCTATGTTTAAAAGATTGGTCGATTGAGTCGAAACCAGAAACTGAATCAGATCCATTGACAGTTGCTGACCCAGAAGTAGTGAGTGTTGCAACTGGTTGTTCATCACCAGTAGTGAGAACACGTAGAGCTCGGTGTAATATTGTGCAAGCTGTGGCAATGGCGTAATCACTCATTGCTAAACGCCGACCAGCCTCCCGAACAGTTAAAATCAAAGAAAACAAAGCGGCATCTGAAAGAGGAGGTCTAGGTGGTAGACCAGCAAGCTGACTGTTTGGATTACGAATAGCTGAAATGGATGCTGGAGCCTCACGACTAGACATGTTTGAAATATCCTAAAACTGAAGAAATTATATCTATTAAAAGATTAATTATTAAACCACTTTGTCATACTGTTAGCAAAAAGACAAACATATCAAATATAAATGTGAATTACGTAGGACACGTTATCTACTTCCACAGCAATATGTTTAGTTGCATGGAAATATTGAAGTTGATGTAAAAAGCGACCAACCTAAAACAGCAGTTAAGATTATTTATATCTCTCTTCACATTGAATACACACCTATATCAGACTTGTAAACTGCATATGAAAACATAAACGGTGCACAAATCATACAGTTAAAATAGAGTAACTTTTAGCATATATTACTACCAATATAAATTCTTCACGTTCTTCATTAACGACACAAAGATATATTAAACTCACAATCGTAACTCATCATAAAACCAAACAAACTATCAGTCCTGATTAGAAAACACAAATAGACACCAACTAGCATACAAAAAAACAAAAGCCAAAATGGATTTTGTAATTTATATTATTTAAAATTAAGAATAGTAAAACAGATATTTTCATAAAAAAGAAAGTAGTTATGAGATAGTTTTTCACAGTATCAACAACCTTAAGTAATCTAAGAGGAAATTCAAAAACTAGATTGAACGAAAATAGAAATAAATAACAAAATGCGCAGATAATATTGCTATCCTAGAAATGTGAGAATTTACAAATAAAAATCCTTGACACCATTGACAATATACCTATGTCTGGGATCAAAACAATACACACAAATATGAATAATTCACAGCGACTCGACTACATGATACCATGAGATAATTATACCGCATTAGGACGAAAAACAAGCCTAATAGCAGTAAATTGAACAAACTTATTAGTCACTTAGTTTAACCAGAATCATTTGAAAAATGAATTGCTGATTTCACTTGTAGACTAGATTATTAGTTTTTGTCTAGGATAATATTAAGCACACAAAGTAATATGTAAATGTCAATAACACTTCATAATAACCAAGGTTAATTAAAACAAAGTAAAATACAACAGAAAAAAATATAATAGAGAACATAATATAAGCAGATCAAGTTAAATGCTGATATATATATTCAAGATAAGAGCGCACATGGGTATAACAGAAGTGAAACAAGTAATCTAGTAAACAAAGTAACAACATTGAACAAATAAAAAATATAAAATGTTTTTTTTAAAAAAACAGATCCTCATTTACAATTGCAAACATATTTTAACGGAGAAGCTACGAAGTTATTTTACGGCGCTTATATTTACGTACAATACGTAAATCATAGGGTGGGATATTCCATTTGATTCCCAGTAAAATAATTTCTACTGTTATTATTATGATTGTTAATAGACTGGAATGAAGGAAATTCAACAGATTGGTGTTTTGATAGTAAACGATATACAGCATGTCCACGATGATTTGAAAAATGATTTGATAAAAGTGGTTCCTCTTGATGATATGGATCCGTAAATATGCTGGTTCTATTACTAATACTGTTGCATAGATGTTGACTGGTATGTTTTAAAAATGAATTATTATAGTTAGTGTGATTACAAAGAGAATTATTTCGACTAATAGTAGTAGTTTCATTAAACAAAAGTGAATCGTTATTACTTCGAGTAGGACGTTGACATTTCGGATCAGTTAATCGACGACGACCAGAAAATAAGTTACCTAATATTCGCCTAGGAGATGTATGTTGTTCGATGGTTGACACTTTGTTGGAATTATCTCGCCCTTCTAGCATATAATATAAAGTTGCATAACGTGAACCTATTGAATTCGATTGCCAAGAAGGTGACAATTCATTTTTCAAATAATGTTGCAGAAGAGCATACACGAATTCCAAATCCCACTAAATATTTCATACATAAAAAATAAAGTATATTATTAACATAAAATCTATTTGATTGGTATCTCTGGAGACAGAAAAATAACTAAATCTATCCTTGTAAACCTATAAACAAAAAAAATTGTGTATAACCTAGTCAAATACACCCGCTCGTCTTTAAATAACATCCGGAAACCACTTGGCATTCTTTAATTTGTCACGTTAAAATATAACTTTTCATTAACATCTCGATATTTTGTATTTTGTCCTACTTTTAAAAACATGGAAACATATTTGAGAACAATAGTTAGTAGTCTGGACAGAATTTTCTATCATCAATAAATCGTATACATAATATTCGATTACAAATGACCTGGTGAATAACGAAAATAGCAGCAACTTGTCGGTTTATTGTTCAGGAATCTCAGAAATTACATGCATTTCGCTTATATTGTCAAGCTGTATAAACATTTGGATGGATAACTCACTTCCATGTTTTAATTAACTTTTAGGAAATGCTTTGATATAAACAAACCACTAGGAATAATATAATATTTATCTTCATTTAAGGTGTACTACAATATAATAAATTAACTGTAAGCGACAAGTAGCAAGTTAACAATTAAACAGTGAAAAGCAAACGTTGAGGAATAATAATAATAAATACTTACATAACCCCTAAACAAATGAGGTCGCTGTAGGCACAACATTTTGAAAACGAAGTATACATCGAGTATAAGATCACTTAAAAATTGGCTAATTAAAATACGAATTGCACAAAATATGCCAACACGATAACCTCCAGTGCTGAAACAATAAAGTTGAACATTTGCAGTATTGAACAGATAATGAGAATAAAAAAAATTAACTACATAATAGCCATAAATATAAAACCTTTTTGGCATTATATGCATACAAAAAAATATTAAGACTTGCCCTGCTTCTTTGTTTTGTAATCTTTTTTGACTAACTGGAAATATTCAGAAAACAATGTAATTATATAAGAGCATCATACCAGGTGGATAAACTAATTAACGCTCAAAAAATGTACTTTGAACTTGAAACAGTCAAATTAATTAAATACTTTTTTTAAATATTTTACTATGTAGTACATACATTGACATTAGTAAATCAGCAGATATACATACTTGAATACCTATTACATTCAGACTGCAACCAAACTAAAATAAATTTCCATGTTAACTGGTCTTGTATGAAGGGGGATTTTGAATTAAGATCTGCACAATACTTCTAACATCCAGAGCAACAATTTTTATAGGTACATGGAACGTCCGAACAATGTGGGAGACCGGGAAGACCAGTCAAATAGCAACGGGAATGGGGAAATACAACTTGGCAGTACTGGGAATCAGCAAAACGCATTGGACCCAAGCTGGACAACAAAGGCTAGATACGGGAGAGATGCTGCTATACTCCGATCACGAAGACGAAAATGCTCCACACACTCAGGGAGTCGCTCTAATGCTGTCCAAAGTAGCACGAAATGCACTTGTAGGATGGGAATCTCACGGATCCAGAATCATCAAAGCATCATTCAAAACAAAGAAGGAGAGGATCACAATGAATATTATCCAATGTTATGCACCCACCAATGATAGCAACGACGAAATTAAAGATCAATTCTACGAGCGTCTGCAGTCAATCATAGAGAAATGCCCAAGAAAGGACCTCACCATTCTAATGGGAGATCTAAACGCCAAAGTCGGAATAGACAACACCGGATATGAAAATATCATGGGACGACATGGATTGACTGGGAGAGAGAAACGATAATGGGGAAAGATTTGCGAATCCGTGTGCATTCAACAGATTGGTCATAGGAGGTACAATATTTCCACACAAACGTATACATAAAGTTACATGAATCTCACCGGACCACACTACAGAGAACCAGATAGATCACATCTGCATCAATAAAAAGTTCCGTAGGACAATGGAAGATGTGAGAACCAAGAGAGAATCTGACATAGCTTAAGAGCACCATCTAGTTGTGGCCAATTTAAAACTGAAGCTAAAAAGGAACTGGACAACTGGACAAACAGCATTACAAAGGTTCAATACAGCCTTCCTTCGAGATACTGACAAACTCAATGAATTCAAGATAGATCTCAACAACAGGTTCCAAGCCTTACAGGATCTACTGAAAGAAGAAGAAACTACTATGGAGGACAACTGGAAAGGCATCAAAGAAACATTAACTTCGTGTCAAGAGATTCTAGGCCTCAAGAAGTATCATCATAAGGAATGGATCTCTGTAGAAACACTGGACAGGATCAAAGCAAGGAAGAACAAGAAGACAGCAATTAACAACAGCCGAACACGAGCAGAGAAAGTCCAAGCACAAGCTGAATACATAGAAGCAAACAAGCAAGTGAAGAGGAGCATTAGAACCGACAAGAAGAAGTACGTGGAAGAACTATCAACGACGGCAGAAAAAGCTGCTGGGGAAGGAAATATGAAACAGCTTTACGATACAACGAAGAAACTAGCAGGGAAATATAGTAAACCAGCGAGACCGGTCAAAAACAAAGAAGGTAGGCCAATCACTGAAATTCAACAACAGCGGAAAGAAGGACATCTCATCAAGATTTCAAAGAAAGCAGATCTGAGCAAATGTGAAAACTACAGAGGCATTACACAATTGTCTGTACGAGGGAAAGTCTTCAACAGAGTTTTGCTGAACCGGATGAAAGACGCAGTAGACACCCAACTTCGAGATCAACAAGCTCGATTCCTTAAGAATCGGTCGTGCACAGACCAAATTGCAACACTACGGATCATCGTCGAACAATCAGTTGAATGGAACTCGTCACTATACATCAACTTCATTGATTATGAAAAGGCATTTGACAGTGTAGATAGGAGGACGTTATGGAAACTTCTTCGACACTACGGAGTTTCTGAGACGTTTGTCAACATTATGCGGAACTAATAAGACGGACTACAGTGAAGGGTCGTGCATAGAGGACAGCTGACAGACGCATTCCAAGTAGGGACCGGAGTTAAACAAGGCTGTCTACTCTCTCTCTCTTCCTCTTTTTCTGGTGGTCGACTGGATTATGAAGACTTCGACATCTGAGGAAAAACATGGCATACAATGGACAGACCAGAACCAATTAAACCATTTAGACTTTGCAGACGACCTAGCCCTCCTATCGCATACACACAAGAACAAATGCAGATAAAGACAACCAGTGTAGCAGCAGTCTCTGCATCAGTAGGCCTCAACATACACAAAGGGAAAACCAAGGTCCTCAGATTCAAAACGGAGAACAGCAATCAAATCACTCTTGATGATGAAACTCTGGAAGATGTAGAATCCTTCACATACCTGGTTGGTGGCATCATCGATGAACAAGGAGGTTCAGATGCAGATTAAGGGCAAGAATTGGCAAAGCAAGGGTCGCATTCCAACAATTGAAGAACATATGAAACTCAAAACAACTTTCAACCAATATCAAAGTCACAATCTTCAATACGAACGTCAAGACAGTCAGTTCTACTGTACGGAGCTGAAACTTGAAGAACTACAACAACCACCATCAAGAAGGTATAAGTAATCATAAATAGGTGTCTACGCAAGATACTCAGCATCCATTGGCCGAATACAATCAGCAACAGCCTTCTCTAGGAGAGAACAAACCAACTTCCAGCTGAAGAAGAAATTAGGAAAAACGATGGAAATGGATAGGACATACATTACGCAAATCGTCAAACTGCATCACGAGGCAAGCCCGAACTTGGAATCATGAAGGGAAGCGGAAAAGAGGAAGGCCAAAGAACACATTACGTCAGGAAATAGAAGCAGACACGAAAAAGATGAATAACAGCTGGAAAGGATTGCCCAGGACAGGGTTGGATGGAGAATGCTGGTGAGCGGCTTATGCTCCTTCACGAGGAGCAACAGGCGTAAGTAAATAAGTAACAATACTTGTAATAATCGATGGTTACAGACATTAAAATGATGAAATAACATAAAAATAGTCTCAGTACCACAACTGAATTAGTTCTATTTTTCCTTTATGGACTTTTTATTCTACAATTTATATTTCCATCTTATGATTTCTATTGTTTTCTGTCCTTAGTTCTGATCTTGTTAATTTCCTGTTTCACTGGTGTTGACATGAAGTTGCCCTCAAATACCCTGGTATGGCCGAGAGTGGTGTGGGCTCTCCCTCCCTCTCTAAATGCTCTCACATGGCCACGCGTATACAGCCTCTGCCAGGGAAGTCTTACTCACTGCCTTCTTGTGGCGGGGGTGTTGTTTACGAAAATGAGAGGACGAAAAGCAAATGTCCGGCGCTTTAACCGGATCCCAAACCAGTAGTGCACATGGGCTCCAGTATCCTGAAGGAACAAATGGCGTATGAACCAATCGTTGGTCACCGGCTACCACGGGACTGCATCTCCTTACGATGCTCCACTGCCTAGTGGGTCAGACTTTCAGGTCGAAGGCTCGGGGTGTGGCCTCCTAAGAAAACCACCTACTTCGATTTGGGCACCCGGGCAGTATCTCAGCCCACACACAAGAACATGATCAACTATCTACTTATGAAAAATATTCGTCTCGCTCCAAATAACAATCAATTATTATTATTATTATTATTATTTACTAAGTCATTATTAACCCTCTTTTATTCCCACTCTGTTTATACTTTTTTTTCGACCTCGACAGTAGCTCGTCTTTGGTGGAAATTCGGTTCTATCTAAACGTTCTCGAGTCAATGTCTGGTTGAAAATTGTATGTTACCACCGAATACGAGCACTGAAGCAGTGTTTTTGAAACCACGTGCACCATTCAAACTGGCTGCCTTCAACGTTCGCACACTTATGCAGGTTGGACAACAGATAGGGCTGGCTATGTCTTTAGAAAGTCTTAATATCGATGTTTGCTGTCTATCCGAGACTCGTATTCAAGTTCTACAAATTCGCTCTCCATCTGTCGCTTCAAAAAGCTTGTTTTACGTGAGATTATCTGGGGACCCTGTGGCATCTTCGTCTGGTCCTGCTGGCCTTGGTGTCACATTAAGCGCTAGAGCTGAGCCAGCACTAATCAATTGGATCCCCATTAACAGTCGGTTATGTGCTGTTAGATTAGAGAGTTCCATCAAAGTGAGAAGAAATCGGCGTGAGAAACGATGTCTTTTCGTCATCTCCGCCTATGCCCCGACAGATTGCAGTCCGGATGCAATCAAGGATGATTTTAACCACCAGTTATCTGTTCTTCTCCAGAAAGCGCGTTCGACAGATATTGTATTACTAGCCGGAGACTTGAATGCTCAGGTCGGGCGTCTAGGCACAGAAGAGAATCGTTTAAGTGGTCGATGGGGAATTGTTGGTCGCAGAACAGATAACGGGGACCGTGTACTGCAACTGTGCACAGACTACAACCTGTTTCTGGCCAGCACGAACTTTTGGCACAGTCATCGCCGATGTGCCACCTGGCGTCCTCCCTCTGCATCTCAAGCCTGGACTCAGATTGATCACATCGCGATCAGCTACCACTGTCGTGGTTGTGTACAAGACTGCCGCTCCTTTTGGAGTACCTATCTGGACTTTGATCATGCCTTGGTCTGCACCAATCTTACCGTACTTTTCAGTGGCCAACAAAGTGACCGCCACCAACGGATTGATGTTAGCAAGCTGGCTGCAACTTCTGTTGCAAGTAAGTATGGAAACGAGCTAGTTTCTAGGCTAGCTACCATACCACCGAAAAGTATAAGTAAGCATTGGTTGCAAATTCATGACGCCATCAAATCGGCGAGTAAAGCCGCTTGCGTCTTCGCGAAACGTCCCGCTTATAAGAACTGGGTTTCTTCAGGCTCCTTACAGCTCACTGAAGCCCTTCGGTCTACTCCGCGTGACTGTGCGTTTGACCACAAACGAAGGATGTTACGTAATGAAATCCGGAAAAGCTTGCGTAAGGACCAAGAAGCCCGGTGATCGGAGCGTGCTAATGAGCTGGAAGCAGCAGCTGCATCTGCTAACTACCGGAAGCTCTTCGAACTCATCCGAGCCACTGGCAGCAAGAAGTCTGGTGTGAGTGAAACAATCTGCGGGGATGACGGAACGCCAATCACTAATACCAATCGACGTCTTAGACGATGGGCAGGATTTTTCGAAGAGCAGTTCAACTGGCCTGCCACTCCGGCAACATCTGTCGGACTGCCCTGCCCTCCATGGCCGGTGACGACTGGTCCACCAAATGAGGCGGAAGTTCGCAAGGAACTCCAACTCTTGAAGCGCTACAAATCACTTGGCTCAGATGACTTACATCCGTCTCTTTTTAAACATGGTGGTGAATTTCTGACCAAGGAACAGACGACGTTGTTTACAAAGGTTTGGGAACTAGAGAAAGTACCAACGTCATGGAATGAGTCGATGGTTTTCCCTATCTTTAATAAGGGTTCACGTCGTTCCTGTAACAACTATCGGGGGATAAGTCAACTTCCCATTGCGTCCAAGCTATTGGCTTCCGTCATACTTCGTAGGTTGTTCAAAATCCGAGAAAGATTGACTCGCGAAGAGCAGGCTGGGTTTCGTTCTGGTCGGGGATGTATTGGTCATATCTTCACCCTCCGCCAAATGTTAGAACACCGCCATACTTATCAAAGGCCAACAATCGTAGTGTTTCTTGACATCAGGGCTGCCTTCGATTCGTTGGACAGAGCTGTTCTCTGGGATTGTCTATTGAAGAAGGGTGTGCCTGAGAAGTTTATTAACATCCTACAAGCCCTATATACAAACACCTCAGGCAGACTGAGAGCATACAACCACCTTTCTCCATTGTTCCATTCGAGCAATGAGGTTAGGCATGGTTGCCCAATCTCACCATTCCTCTTCAACTTTGTTATCGACGACATTCTGGAAACAGCTCTGATGGGTGTAAGAAATGGCGGTGTGGATCTGTTGCCTGGAGAAAGACTTCTCGACCTTCAGTATGCGGATGATATTGCCTTACTGTGCGATAATGCCCAAGGCATGCACTCCGCACTTAATCAGTTGTCAATCAGTGTCCGTAGGTATGGTATGGTATGTGCTCTGCACCTTCGAAGTGCAAAGTACTTCTACAAGACTGGCAGGATTCGAATCCTGTACTCACCCTGGATGGTGAGCAGATAGAAGCAGTCGAGAAGTTCGTGTATCTAGGTAGCGATATAAGTGCTGGTGGGGGTATGAGTAATGAGATCAATTCACGTATAGTGAAAGCCAGAGCGGCTTATGCCAATCTCGGCCATCTTCGCTGCTTTCGTGATAATAGTCTGGCTGTAAAACTTCGGATCTACAACTCATCGGTGAGAGCAGTTTTGCTCTATGCTTGTGAAACCTGGCCTCTCCGAGTTGAGGACGTTAGACGACTCTCTGTGTTCGATCATCGTTGTCTCCGAAGGATTGCTGACATCCAATGGCAACACTATTTCGGTGATGCAGAGGTTCGGCATCGTGTGTTCGGGCTCGGTAACCATAATCTAATTGGTGTCACCATCTTGAAACGCCGACTTCGGTGACTCGGACATGTTCTACGAATGTCGTCTCATAGAATTCCACGTCGTGCATTATTTGGCGACAATGGGATTGGTTGGAAAGAGCGGAGGGGTGATCAGTGTATGACATGGTGTCGTGGTATGAAAGAAATCTGCAAAGAGCTGGCTTCTGTTGGTCCTTCTCGATTCCCTGGCTGGGCTCCGAGAGATGGTGTAACACAGTGGCTAGAGACGTTATCAGATATGGCTCAGAATAGAAACCAGTCGCAATCCTGCTGTAACTTTATTTTACTTTCTTCATGAAAAAAGACGTAACTTCTTTAAGTGAAAGAATTCTCTGTGGCTTTACTTTTGCTAATTAAACTGCCTCTCCCATTATTGTTATTTCACTAACATACACCGATTTTTGTTCATTGTTATACTTCTTTTTTCTTATACACATCTTACAGTCTTTATTTCTTCACATTCTCATTATTATTTTGTGGCGCATATGTATCCGGTGCATTCTTGTACCAATATTTACGTTTTCAAATAAAATAAATCAGAACCTGGAAACGTGGAACTTCAAATTCAGATGCAAAATCATATATACATAGAACACAAATATGTGTAAAAATTAATGGCAGATGTTAACAATCATTCTCAGAGTATTGCGTACTCCACTAGAATCCAACACATTGGATGACTATAGAAACTCTTCTCTATATTTCAGCAACGTATATTCATTTAATTTTATATTTATTTATACAATTCGATAACCAGATGAAGAGAGACTAAGATGACCGAATTTCTACATACTTGCATATTGTAATTATCATAATCAATCATTCAGACTAACAATTAATGAGAATTTATTAAAAGGAAAACAACATCTTTGTAATAAAATTACTGGGGGGTTTTATCTCATCTAAATTTTGTGATTAAATGAAGTCACGTAAAACACATTGAAAAAGTTTCAGTGGGTTTTCTCAGTATAATAAACAACTTTACAGACTTTTTATACGTTCCAAACAATGAACAAGATTTGTAAAGGTGATGGATGAAATGAAGAAATGCACAGATTCCACAATTAAGAAATACTGATCTTACTTTCCGTAAATAGAGATAACTGTCTTTTACTATCAAACTGTTAATCAATTAACTAAATATATCTCAGAAGAGTTGACAGCTAGAAAGCACATGAATCCCAAGATAACTATGTAGTCAGAATAGTTGTCATTATCATTGTTCTTGTTTTTAAATAGTTACAACAATAGATCACTAATACTTCTGTCTTTAGTTTAAAACAGATTGATTATTACATTGAATAATTCAGCGAATCCAAATAGTTTATGACCCTATTTGTTTACCATGAATACACCATTTTAACTAGACGATTAGTAAAACTGCACCAAAGAAAACTTACTTATCTACTAAAACAATAGGAGCGGAAGAATTAGAGAATTCCGGATTATCATTTGCTAAGTGTGTAGCCAATTCAAGTAAATCTGATGCAATCCTTGATTCATGAGGATTTTCTAAATCAATAGAAGGCCATGCATTAAAATGCAAAAGGGTACATGCTAGTGCATAATCTTCTCGATCAGATGTTAGTAAGAATTGAAATCGTACTAACGAATCACCGCACTGATCCATTCGAGCAAAATTTATATGCAACCAACCGATTGTTCTTGTCTGTCATTTGAATTAAAAAATGTATAATAAGTTAAACTTTACAATTAAAACGATTTGATTATTCAAATATAGACATTGAACGAAATAAAGAGTAATATATGATGATAAATGAGAATTTAAATATTAAGTGTTTATTCAAATAGCAATCAAATGATGAACACGAAAGTACATATATATACATCCAATGTGTATGGTAGTTCATGAACGGAGTGCCAGAGAATATAACAAACATCTACTGTTATTTCTAGACTACTACTGACATATAGAAAATTAAGGTCACTTCAAATGAGGAATAATATTATTCCCAGGAGAATATCCATAATAAAACAAGTTTACTGAGAAAAAATTTCCATCAATCATTTTTTGTTTAATATGGTCGACAGCTGATTAGGCTCGCAAAATACGATACTCCAAATCCTCACAAGTTATGGAATATAATACACAAAGTCTGTGATTAATGAACCGGTGAACTTCTTAGAATGGGCTGAACCGATAGTGGTAGTAAAGAAGACTAATGGTAGAGTTCGTCTATGTGCCGATTACTCAACCAGGTTAAATGAAGCCCTAGAAGCTCATCAGTATCCATCAACCCAACCTGAAGATCTTCTTGCTAAACTGAATGGAGGTAAGCTCTTTTTAAAGTTGGATTTAGCGGAAGCTTATTTGCAAATTCATGTTGCTAATGAGTGTAAAGACTTGCTCACCATAAACACAAACAAGGGCCTATTCCAGTATAATCGATTACCTTTTGGAGTCAAGGGGGCCTCATCCATATTTCAACAAGTAATGGATAACATGCTACAGGATGTTCCAGGTGCTGCAATTTATCTGGATGATATAATAATTCTGAGAGTAGATAGAATAGACTTAGAAAAGAAGCTCAACCAGGTGCTGTCACGCATAGTCGAATATGGACTTCAGTTCCGTGCAAAGGAATGTAACTGTTGTATGCAAAAGGTACGCTACCTCGAGTTTATAATCGACAAAGATGGCGAAAGACCAGATCCAGAGAATACCGAGGCAATGAAAACTATGCCTAGACCGATGGATGTCCACACAATACTATCCATTTTGGGACTAGTTAGTCATTAAGGAGCTTTTATTCCTAACCTTCTGAAGAAGAATGTGAAATGGGATTGGTCTGCAACTTGCCAAGATGCTTTCGATGAAATCAAGATAACACTAGTCTCGGATCTGTTGCCCACCCATTACGATTCATCTTTACGCGTTGTAGCATCATCAGATGCTTCAATCTACGGCATTGGAGCAATGTTTTCTCACATCATGCCAGATGGATGAGAAAGCCATATCGTTAACTACAGCAGAACGCAACTACAGTCAGACCGAGAAGGAAGCATTGTCGATTATCTTCGCTGTAAAGAAGTTTCACAACATGATATTCGGACGCCAGTTCACTCTATTAACTGACCATAAACTACAACTATTCATTTTTGGGTCGAAGAAAGGTGTCACGGTATACACAGCAAACAGACTGCAACGGTGGGGAAGTACGCTCTTGGATTATGACTTCAAGATCAAGTACCAGCTCATTACAGATTTTGGACAAGCTGACGCTTTATCTAGACTGATTTGAAACGGGAAGAAGATACGTTGGTGACAGCGATTGCGACGGAAACAGAAGTACACCGAGTATTGGAATATGCAGTCGATGGTTTACCAGTTACTTTTAAAGCTATCAAAGAAGCCACAGAAAATGGCAAGACATTAAGTAAAGTTAGTGGTTGTTTTCTCACTAAGCGGCCGAACCGTCGTTTTCAAGGAGAAATGATACGATATTTTCGCCGACGGGATTCACTCACGATGGTTGATTCATGCATCATGTTTGGTGACAGAATTGTTGTTCAAAAAATATTGTTTGTATAAAGGCGTTGGACTTTCGTAACGTGGATTAGACACATCAATCAAATACACGGAAAATAAAGGACTCTAAAGATGGTAGATAGTCGAGTGAGTTTTCCGCTAGAGATAATTACAGATACTCTAACGGCAGGAACCCCAACAGACACTCATAGACGTTGGATACCCAGAAAATTCGAGCGTCGTAGAAAACCAGTTGTCAAGATGTAAGTAGACCCGAAAAAAATGTCTTATTTTTTGAAAGGTGGAAGGTGTTGGGGAGATTCAGAAAACTCGTCGAAAAAGCCAAAACATTGAGAAGCACCATATCCAATCAGCATTCACTAGAAGTTTTGCCAGAAACAGTTGGGAAGAAAAGTCACAAGTCGAATTTCTGATTCTATGATTACCTATACTGCTACTATGCTTAGTAGCGTTCTAGAATTTTCCGGAAACCCAAAGCCATCTGAAATAATATAAATACCCCAGATTTTACGTACATAAACGAACATTTGAATTAAAGCGTTTCTTCCATATTTCGCGCCTTTCCTCGTGTTCAAGTCACTGTGTAGATTTAATATGGGGGTTACTAAAAGAGCTTTAGAACCGAATCCAGCGTTCATTTAGAAGACTTATCAGATAGAAGTTCTGAGTTTAAATTTACAAACCAGCTTATTCACATTTGTTCTAAGCACGAGCAATTATAAAAACGAATTCCGGAGAACTGGCATACACTCGGCATATTTTCCTATGATCAAGTAGATTTCCCTCTTAAAAGAAATTACCAACTTTTCACTTTGCTTCATACGTAAATAATACAGGACTGTATAAAAAACAAATCACCAAAATATCCTATTTCAGTTGCAAAAGTACGATTTTATACATTGATTTCTAACATTTACTATTGTTTAATTTGATTCACAATATTAAAGAATATGCTCCTGGGGATGTAAACAATAATTAGCAAATGCATACAAACAATACAGTTGACAATTATAAACCATGAGTGAATTTCTTAAAGGAAATCGAAAAATACAGAAAGATCTATAGTAACGATATTTTTTATTTTATTTTAACACATAGATATTGGTACAGGGAGGCAAAAATACATATGCGCCACACAAATCTCATTCGATACGTGTGAGAGCTGTGATACTACCCGGGTGCCCAAACCGAAGTAGGTGGTTTTCTTAGGAGGCCACACCCCGAGCCTTCGACCTGAAAGTCTGATCCACTAGGCAGTGGAGCATCGTAAGGAGATGCAGTCCCGTGGTAGCCGGTGACCAACGATTGGTTCATACGCCATTTGTTCCTTCAGGATACTGGAGCCCATGTGCACTACTGGTTTGGGATCCGGTTAAAGCGCCGGACATTTGCTTTTCGTCCTCTCATTTTCGTAAACAACACTCCCGCCACGAGAAGGCAGTGAGTAGGACTTTCCCGGCAGAGGCTATATACACGTGGCCATGTGAGAGTATTTCGAGAGGGAGAGCGGACTCTCCCTACTCTCGGCCGTGCCAGGGCATTTGGAGGCTATAGTAGTTATTAAAAAGCATGAATGTTATTTAATAATGTTACAAAAAGGAAAACTAACTTGCTCAACTTCATCAGGCCAAAATGGTAACAAATTTTGATCAGACAAACATACAATTAAAGAAGAATTAGCGTCCCAAACTACTTTCCAAAATTCAGTTACACTGTTACCTAAAGGATGACGAGTAACTATATACTCACAAACATTCAGAAAACCATGAAGAACGGACGAATCAATGCCTGAACCATCAGTAATACCTAGAAGAAACATAATTATGGATACATACAATCAAAACATGGTAAAGAAAATTAGAATTTAACATAATAAGTTAATTCTCCAAAGTAATCTGATCAGTCGCTGATATCTCACATCATGATTTGTTGCACAAACATTTATTTATTTATTTGAACACATAAATATTGGTACAAGGATGCACCGGATACATATGCGCCACACAATAACAGTGAGAATGAGAAGAGAAAAAGAACGTGAGACGCGTGTAAGGGAGAAAGGAAAAAAAGAGAACAATAACGACCACAGATTAGTGTATGGTGATGTAATAATAATAATAATAATAATAATAATAATAATAATAATAGCAGTAGTAATAATAATAATAGGGAAACGGAAAGGTACAACCAGAAAGAATTTGAGTTAAGGAAGTTACGTCTTTTTTCATGAAGAAAGTAAAATAAAGTTACAGCAGGATCGCGACTGGTTTCTATTCTGAGCCATATCTGATAACGTCTCTAGCCACTGTGTTACACCATCTCTCGGAGCCCAGCCAGGGAATCGAGAAGGACCAACAGAAGCCAGCTCTTTGCAGATTTCTTTCATACCACGACACCATGTCATACACTGATCACCCCTCCGCTCTTTCCAACCAATCCCATTGTCGCCAAATAATGCACGACGTGGAATTCTATGAGACGACATTCGTAGAACATGTCCGAGTCACCGAAGTCGGCGTTTCAAGATGGTGACACCAATTAGATTATGGTTACCGAGCCCGAACACACGATGCCGAACCTCTGCATCACCGAAATAGTGTTGCCATTGGATGTCAGCAATCCTTTGGAGACAACGATGATCGAACACAGAGAGTCGTCTAACGTCCTCAACTCGGAGAGGCCAGGTTTCACAAGCATAGAGCAATACTCATACCCCCACCGGCACTTATATCGCTACCTAGATACACGAACTTCTTGAATCTCGACAACACAAATAAGTCAAGCTCCAAGTTGTTTTTGTTAATTTATAACACTAAGGCAGTTGATTGATTTGTGAATGCTCTCATATGTAATCAGATTTCATGAGAACGTGATTAACTTATAAATAAATCGAAAGAACAATATACCTACTTGTACACATGGGTAATTTCGTTTGATCAACACTCAGGGTTCCACTATGCAAAGAACCGGCAGAATCACATCTGAAATCCATACACATCTTGGGAAAATAAAAAAGAATTTTCTTACAATGAGTTAATCAAGTAGTAAACAATATATTAACTTTGTAATACTAACGTGACTGAAATACTCATTTAAATAACTGATTCATGAATGAATATTACGCATTCTGAGAAATGAAATACAACCACCATTTGTCAGGTAAACACTTACTTCAAATTGTTTCATTAAATTGGATGTACCTGTTGAATCTAGTTCATATAAATGTCGCAAGTAATCACTGAAGTCCAGCGGACGAATTGAATGATACGGATAAAGAATATACTCACGTAATGCGTCATGAATGAAAGCATATTGTTGCTAGATAATCAATATAATAAGCAAAATAAAGAGAATAATGAGTGAATTACTAATTCATTGATAATAACCGTGTAGGATTTAATTTGTCCCACAGATATACTACTAAAACCGTAAACACGATACTAGCTCTTTTTCTAAGTTCCCACCTGGCCAACACAATACTTGATGGAACATGGCTTCGTCTGCCGTAAGACCTATTGGTCGTTGCCAAAATCTTGTGAAAACGTCTACTAAGTTATTGACTAAATCAGGCCCAGAATAAAGATTCTTGTTTAAAGAAGTCCCAGCATACTTAGCTGCACAATCGAACACTATTCTTAACTTGTTAGGCTTTTTGGGATGGAAGACAGGGTGATGAGGAAGATACCAGAATAGTCCATCACTGTTGTTATCGTTTACTTTTTCAGCATAATCTCGTTCTATATACCAAGTCATTGTGTTCACATAGTATTGGAACAACATTATATCCCGAATAAGTCGACCTTTCAAACAGCTGAGTCTATGTTCTGCTGATTTCTTATTATTAGGTAACTTGTGTTTGTGCCTCCAAGGCAGAGCTATTTGATAGTGCCCATTTAACTTTTGCGCTGAATGCTATACAATCTTCCACAGACATCGATGGATTACGACTAAATGGGTCTTTGAATTCAGTTGAATACAATTGTTCAAACTTATCCTCTAATTCCTCCTTAGCCGAGAGGCAATTAAGTACGTGGTTGCTTCCACGGGGTTCTCTGTAAGGGCCGAACAGCAGACGGTTCACTCGTCTTTCCGGTTCTTATGTCTTTCATCTTATGTACACCCGATGCATTACACCCGATTAACAGTTTGACGTCTTCATCTTCTACTCTCGGAAAACTTATGTCTTTTAAATAGGACCAGGATACCATTTGATGCGCCGATGGCACAGTCCTGTATACTGCCGGTTGTTTTCTGACTGTCAACACTTTCTCTACCTTAACGGATGACGAAAAATCTATCGAGTACAACTCTACATCGACCTCTTTGGATACCAACGACGATTCATTACTAAGAGACTTTAAAGATACCATTTTCGGTTTTCCCTCGAGACCTAACTTATCAGCTAGATTATCAACTATGAGGGAGGTGTCTGATCCGCTATCTAGGAAGGCGTATGTCTGAATAATCTCACCACTTTTTATTCATACAGGCGCTACTGCAAGTGCTACTGGTCTCCATATACACTAAACGCCTTCCTCCGTACAAAGCTGAGTATTAATGTAGGCATCACTATTAGTATCTCTTGGTTCTTCCCGCTTCTCGTGTAACAAACCGTGTTGTCGCCTAATCATAATGAGAGTAACTGACGGTCATAGAAGCAATTACAATGTCAAAGGTGTTAAACGCAGTATCATAGAAAAAATAAATAATAAAACTAGCTGAGTAAAAGCTATTTATGGAAATCAGGGTTCGTACGAAAAACAGGTACGGTAAAAAATAATAATAATTACTTCTGTTTGGACAAGTTTCATGCGTTGTTGACGAATGTGTTCCAGGAACCCCCGAACAGAAACAGCTTGTTCTACCTTTAGCTGCCGTATCAAACTTTCGATACAGATGTAAGTACCGGTTCGTCCGACGCCAGCGCTAACATTTAGAAAAATTGAGATTAAAGGAAAAAGATTTAATGTATACTTAGGTATTTAAAATGTCAGTTGATGAACATTTTATTATTAGAGCAAACCATATATTGAAAACGACTTCACTGCATCAACATGTATTAAACAATATTTACCAAAGGCAGAAAAAGTACCTGCAGTGGACAACAATAGGACCTTTGTCAAATGTCCAATGCGTGACCGAGGCTTCTACGAACTTCAGAACCGGAAGAGGGGAAGGAGGTACATCAAAATCTCGCCAATCTGTGTATTGATAGTGATAAACTAAACGATCTTTAGAACCCTAGAAAAAAAATATAATACGTCTCATTACTTGAAGTGAATACCTAGATAAATTTGTAAAATGTAAGAAATCACTAGGTAGACGGAGTCTAGTGGACACTTAACGTACGTTTGTGACAGAGATGTTGAGTGAAATGAACAAGCAATGGCAACAAATGTACGTGAAAACTCGTTCATAATAATTTAATCAATCAACAAATAGAATCTAACGACATGTACCACGATTATAAGTGGTTTAGTTTATTACGTACATTAAATTTTAGTACTGTAGTAGTAACCAACCAGTTACTTATTTCATACACAACATAGAATTTCAAACTAAAGATCAATCGAACTATACGAATCTACTTCTAAAAACGAATTCGCATATTTTCGTTTATTTTATCCAATTTTTTTAAATCACAATGAAATGAAAAATCTCATTTCAAAAAACTTGAAACTATTAGCCGTATAAATAAAAATTGAAATTTACACGTTTAGTCTTGATATGTCGAACAGTAAACACTCGGATAGTGAAGAAAGCCCGTACAACTTCAGAAATCATACGAACTGAAACGTTCCCATACGTTTGGTGACCTGAACTGGGCCAATACTTGTCACATTTACGCTATATTTGAGAACGAAATAAAGGCAAAATGTGATCATAATTAGAGAAATTCACATAAATGATTAAAAAAAATCAAACTAAGTAATTCTAGTAAATAGAATAAGCACAATGAAGGTTGTGAGGGGCTCCAAAACAAAGAAAATTACCCTCGAAGAATAGATCAAAACAATAGAAAACAACTTTTACAAAAATCACTGAAGTAAGAACTAGTAAATCGTTGTCTGATAAACCTACACGACCACGTTCAACGAAGTTAGATATCATAACGATGACGTTGCTATTTTGCTCCCATACCATCAACCAGAAATCATCGAAAGTAGACGGGATAGGGCCTTGTGCAGCGATATATGCTGCTCGACGATGATAACCCTGCATAAAACAAAAAATATTATGTAAAGTATGAAGGATACAAATAGCTTATTTCCAAAATGACAAAAATATAGCAATGAAGTCAAAATATACAATTTAACAGGTATAAAATAACAGGAGACTGTACAAGAAGTAGTTAACAAGATGTTCATTTGTTTTAGTTGTTATTAATACTCTAATTTGAGAATACGAATATCAAGCCCTCGCTAAACTTATATTTGTATTCCTTATCATGAATATATAATGAATTCTGTGAAGTTTACTATATTGTTTAGCGACTGGAATCAAAGGATGTGAGCTTCTAATTTACAAAGTACTGAGATTTTCCCGTGGTAGTGAGCAAAAGAAATTGCTACTTTTCTAAGATTCTGTAGATCATGTACGCCATAGGACTTATAAGTAGGACCCTTTATTTTCGCTGATTTAGTTCAAGTATCAGATGACCTTTAGGACATTCTAACCCTTTGAGAAACGCTTACCTTTGTTATGTAAAGGCGGTAGTAAGAGCCCTAAAAAATACACTAAAAAATGTTATGTGGGGGCTTCAGAGGAAAAGAGTGGATTCCACATGCACGAGTTTTAAAAAGTTATATACCGAACTAAATAGCTATGTTAGATATAGATTCAGATATATTAAAGAAAGTAATAGAAAGAGACAAAATACCAATCGAGGGCAATTTTAGAACGTATTATTTTCCATTTGATTTGAAAGAAAAGGATCTTACAAAGCAAATCAGCTTTCGTGTGTTCACAAAAAATAGCAAGTTCACAGTTTATTATCAGTTGAAATGAAACGAGAGATAAGTAAATGAACATTCAAAATTAATCTTGAATCTGTCTTTTTAGACATTGGTTTTTGTAGACCTTATGTTTTACAAGTATGTGAGTACCATGCTCTAATACGCGCACGCATCTGCTTGTCCCTCACTGGACGCAGGAAAGCCACATTAAGAAGACTCATTAGAATTGAATTGAGTGATGAGAAAAACGAAAGAAGATTCAAGGAAAAACTGAGATCACACTTGGTTAGTTCTAAAAACGAGGCTGACCCAGATGTTGCTTGGAAAGATATACAATCAGCTGTGGAAACAGCAGTGACATCTATCAGTGATTTGAACTAAAAGGTCATGAAAAACCAGTGAATTTCTGCTACATCTTTTGCACTGATGGATTCTCGTAAACTCATCCCATAAGGCTGTGAACACGATGATGAGCGAAAGCAAATCAGATCTAGATTAAGTAAACGTTTAGAGAACGACCGTGAGCAATGGTGGGTATCGAAAGCAAAAGAAATGGAAAAGGTGGCGGCTATAGGTAACACAAGACATCTCTTCAGACTCGTAAAAGAAACTGGAACTAAAAAGTCAAGCGTGAGACTATCTCGGGAAAAGACGACACTTATTTGCTCACAGTTCAGACGTTTAGAACGATGGGAGGAACACCTTACAGAACAGTTTAGCTGGCCTTCAGCTCCTCGACAACTACTCAAAACTCCAAAACAGCATGGATGGAACATTGAAGAAGTTCCCCGACCCTAGCTGAAGTTCAAAAGTCTATAGGTAACCTGAAACGAGGAAGAGCAGCTGGTCCAAATGAATTGGTTTCAGATGCCTTTAATTATGGTGGTCCAATTTTAGCTATTAGGTTGACTAATATTTTAGCTAAAATCTGGTATCTGACTGGTCGCAATCACTTATTGTCCCGATATATAAGAAGGGGTCAAAATCATCCTGTGATAACCATAGAGGGATTAGTTTGACTAGCACAGTATCTAAAATACTAGCCTCAATAATTATCGAGCGCCTAACTAAGACTCGTGAACTGCAAACACAAGAAAATCAGGCTTGCTTCAGACATGGTCGTGTCTGCATCGACCACATATTCATCATTTGTCAGGTTCTAGAACACAGGCATACTTATCAGCGCCCGAAAATCATAGTTTCTCTTGGCTTAAAAGCAGCATCTGATTCCGTAGACCGAGAGGTTTTGTGATAGTGTCTGACATTGGAAGGTGTACCTCAGAAGTGCAGAAAACTTGTGAGGTCTATTTACTCGAACACTACTAATCGAGTGAGAGCTTATGGCAAACTCAAGTAATGTCCGTCAAGACTGTTCACTTTCTCTATTTTTGTTTAACTTCATCATAGACATACTGATGGAAATGACATTCTCGTCCACCGAATTCTCAGGCGTTGATCTCCTTACAGGAGGTCCACTTATCGACTAAGAATACGCAGATGACATAGTCCTATTTGGTGAAGACGCTGATAAAATGCAGTCTTCTGGTAGCACTAAGCAACAATGCCAGAATGTTTGGAATGCGCTTCTCTCCCTCTAAATGCAAGTTGTTGCTTCAGGACTGGTCTGCGTCAACACCTGAACTAAGAATAGAGAGTGAAGTAGTCGAACGCGTTGACAACTTCACTTATGTTGGGAGTCTGATCAGCCCTAATGGGTTGGTGTCTGACGAAATCTCTGCACGGATTGGAAAAGCTCGTCTAGCCTTTGTTAAATTACGTCACTTGTGGCGAAGGCGAGATATCAGTCTATCAATTAAGGGACGAGTATACTGCGCGGCAGTTCGTTCTGTTTTAATTTACGATAGCGAAACATGGCCACTAAGAGTAGGAGATACTCGTAAGCTACTAGTATTTGACCACAGATGCCTTAGAAATATTGCTCGCATCTGCTGCGACCACCGGGCAAGTAACAGTGAGGTTAGACGTAGGGTATTAGGGAATGATGGTAAATCAGTTGATGAGGTTATGAATCTTCACCGGCTGAGATGGTTAGGCCACGTGTTATATATGCCGGAACACCGATCACCACGACGCGCAATGCTAACCGGTGTTGGAAATGGTTGGAAGAAAGTTAGGGGCGGCCAAATCGAAACGTGGCATCAGTGCTTGAAGTCACTAACTTCTAGTCTGAGCCATGTTGGTAGATGCAGACTACTTGGTTGGAGTCCGCGCAACTATCATAATCAATGGTTGGATACTGTAGGTGACATGGCTCAGAATCGATCACAATGGCGTCGGTGTATACACTCCCTGTCTTCCCTTAAACTAGGAGATTAAAATTGCTTCATATATTTCCTTCTACGAACAAATTCTTTCTTTCTGTACTATATCCTTATATAAAATCTTTCCTTTATATATTACACCATTGAGTTAACTGCTTCTACGAATCCGGTGTTCGTCTTGCTGTGCTAATGAGGTGTGGCAACTTGGACCGATGTATGTATGTGCCTGGTCCTACGTTGTAACTGACTGACTGACAAGAATACGAGAACAAGCGAATATGCATCATGCAGGTGAGTAATAAGTGATATATATTCCAAACAACAAAATCCAAATGACGACAGTATTATCAACAAGTTGTTAGAGGTTTAGTAATTTTTATTAAAAGCGAAGGTTATTAATATGTAGTTTACACTTACATCGACATAATTTGCATTGATATAATCACTTTTACTGCTTGTTTCCTTAAGTATAACTCTCGAATGATCATCTAAAATATCAAAACATAACACAAATAAAACTTCCAAAAAAAGCGATGAAGTTCTTAAAACACGGTATAAAGAGTATCTTTGAAAAGTTTTTAAATGAGTATTTTAAGAAACATACTACTTACATATTAACAGAAAGTAGCTTACGAACTTTTAAAAAGCCGCATCAAATTATCAGGATTATCCTTAATATAAAGAAGTCGGTAATTAGTCGACACAAATGTCCAGATGAATCTAGTCTCTGTCATGCTGTTTTATTCAACAGTGTTTCCTTAAGACCTTTCAGATGTTTTCATTGAACGTTGTTAATATATACAAACTGTTGTACGTCAAACTATTAAGTAATGAAGTTATTTTATTCACCCGTTTCCAATGTACTGTTATAAAATGTTGACTATCAACAATAAAACTATGATAGATCATTTTTCTTGGAATCAGAAAAGTCAACGCATTGATAGATTCAAAGTGAAATTCCAGGAATATTTACTTACTCTATGGATCATTATAATGTTAGACTGAAAGGTACAAAACTGTCCATTTCAAATCATAAAGCGCTACTATTTACAAAAATGTATGTAATGGAAGGATGACAGAATTCTGGAATTTATTTTATTAGCCAATAACAACCAGACTATTTCAATACAGAAAGACTAACTTCAAGTTGGTAACTATCGATTCCGACTCATTCCATGTACGATATAATATATAGTCAAAGAAACGCTTTTTTTTATTTGCAACATTACAACAAGAGCATACACTACAGGAATATAGAATGATTAATCTTAATGAAGTACTGTACAGGACTACACTTCACTGGTGGATATCCTATGAACACTAACAGAGAAACTAATAATTTGACACTGAAATGTTTGCAGCGAACGATTTCCTATGACAAGACAATTGAAAACCCATGTAAATTTATAAACTCAGATAAACGATCTACTATATTCTCAAGTCTTTAGAGTTGAAAAGTGTTAATATTAGTATTAATATACAACGACTAACAAAATACATAGATAATTTAAACATTAAGGAAGACAATTAAGGACGTACAAGCCAAAATGTTGGAGTATCGATTTTTGGCTATGTTTTCTGAAGAACGAGCAACGGAAGTTGACCAGTTTGTTTGCACATTTTGTTCTAACGACTAATTCAAAAAAGAAATTTCGATACTTTGATAGTAAGAAGTATGATTAAAAATAAAGATACGAAATAAGCAAACGAATTAATCACATCTGGAAAAGCTAATAATTTATTGTCTAGGTTGAAGTTGGTTCAGTAGAATTAATTAATCGTTCACCAAGCAGTTTTATATACTCATTTTCGAGCATGTTAACTGACGCTAAATTGAAGAAGATAAAACGGGATCCGGACATACAGCACAACTGTAAGAAGTTAATTAGTTTAGCCACTAAGCCATCGCACCCTATAAATGTGACCGGTTTCCGGTAAGGCTTTGGTTTAGAGTAAAGCTTTGCCACTCCATCAAAATATGTTCAATTCTCATAAAAACAAACATAATGTATAATTTTTTCTGAAATTCAGAATGTATTTATGAATATGGAGACAGGACTTGGCGATACAAACACAAAGCTTTAATAGGTTATGGGTTGGTTCAAAAACAAACACAAAAGCCTGGGATATGGTTACTTATTTGTATATGTTATTTAATTGCACTTATTAACAATGGAAAATTAAGCAATAAACGTGGTTAGATAAAAAGATTTCTTTCAATGTTAACAGTGACATCTATCTGTATGTAACAAAAGTGAAATAGATCTGAATTCAATTCTGAAAGATCGAAGATACATAATGTCAATGAAGGTCAAAATCCAACTGTGTATTTAATGAATCCCAGCTACCAAAGTGCTAACAAGTTTAGATCATCAAATAACTCACCTCGAACTCTGCTTGAAATCCAGCATCATCATCAGCATGGCAAGCATTAACATGGGCACGAAATTCTTTGCTTGAAATAGCTTTGTATGTGTTTTTACTTAGATGAAATGGTGTAATACGTTTGTATTTAGTTGATATATCGGTTTTGCGATAACAAGAACCCGTATCACGACACATGATAAGAAAACAATGAACTTGACTAAAAAAAAAGTAAGAAAATATGGTGTTACAATTAGGAAAAATTAACTTCATGATATTTTAAGTCATAATGGTTGTAGGAAAGAGAAAAAAGTTTACGGGGATGATACAAACTAGTAAAATTTTCATTAACTCAATCGGATTTTCTTAAATATTTGAAAAATTAATTGAATAAATTCAACAAAAACGCACTTGGCAAAACATGCACCAATTATCACGCAGAAGAAAACCAGAAGAGTAATAGAAACTATCCAAACAATTGCAATATTATCTAACTTGAGATGATATTTCGGAGTTGTATGAAAATATCTTCGTGTAGAAGAAGCTAAAACGAAAAAAGAGTGAAGTAAATTTATATGGAATGTAAATAAATAAAACTATACGAATGAAATGACAGTGTTAAACATGGTCAACGTCAGCATTAAGTGAAGTGTTTCAAGGAAGCTTCAATATTTGGATGAAACGAATACTGATTTCAATGATGAATGTAAGAAATTTAAATGCTTTTGATAGACATTTCAACTTCGTTTAGCAAGGTAGAGTGTACTGAAAAAAACAGTATAAACATAAAGTTTGAAAATACTTACACAGATTTAAACTTATTTCGTTTGAGTTCTCACTTTGTATCTCGCAGTTTACGTAATCAGTACAATTTGTTTGAGAGATACTGGATCGAATAGTAAAGATAATTCGACCAGATTTTGCTTCTTTAAACACGGACAATGGAATAACAGTCTGAAAATAGATACGGATGGTTCATTCACGTAAGAGTTAGGTTCCGAAAATACTTTAAGATAAGAAATAAGACCTGTCTGATTATCCTCGATTAAAACGTCAACAAAAACAATTATGATCAAACGACGCACAAAAAATTTTGAGAACACCGACCGAAGAATTGGAACGATATATTGTCTACTAGGTATTATTGCCTGTTGACCCGTACATCTACGTAACATAATATCCAACTGTCTGTGCCACCCAAATCTGTTGGAAAATCGTTAATAATACTTTACTGATCCCCGAAATTTGTGAAAAAAAACTGCCCATCAAAAATGAATAGAGATGTGTACCTAGCGACGATATAAGCGAAATTGGCGGACTACAACATCAACGTTTACTACAGTTGATATTATTTCACCAATTCCAAGCCACATAATCCCATATGATCAAAAGAGGAATGCGTTAGTTTTCGTTCGTATATGATTAAAAGGTATAGAACTAACGCATTTTTGAGTATTTCCCTCTGTAACTAGGAAAGAAGATCAAATCCAATGACTAATTTCGTTGAAACTGTATTAAATAACTCATAAAGTGGACAGGACCAAAACATGCACGGCAGTGAAATAGATTTCTGTAAACAGCTCTTATCTTTCTACGTAAAGCAAGTTTGTAAAACAAGACTAACGTGGTTGCATTTACTAGTTTTTTATCTTGTTTATCTCCCCGCTTTCATCTTTATTTTATTTGTTCATAAATTCTGTCTAGCCATTTCTATTACTGTCTTGGTACTCTGTAACTTTTTCATGAAAAGATTCGTTAGATAACAACCATTTAAAAAACTGGGTTTCCGGTCTAAATTGTCGCATGGGTATTCAGAAATAAATATGGCGGCTTGATATGGAGTAAAGATGCTTCCCAAAGCTATGGAGTGATCGAAAGCATACTAAAATTACCCCACACAATCAAATACTTATAACTCCTACATTCAGTTAGTTAGACGCAACGTACAACCCCGCACGTACCTACATTGGTTCTTCCACAGACGTTATACATACCGCACTTTGATGACAAGGGTGTTTACAAAGAGGTGTCGAAGCTGTTCAATGACATCTTAGCTGAATCGGTGAAAACAGAGGGTTCACCTAGCGAGTTAAGGAGTTTCAAATTTAATCAACGGCCAACTACAGAGTCTCGAAAGAATGATCGGAGTATGAACCTACGCTTTCGTCAAGGGCTACCACGAGAAACCTACAGTGCCTCGTCAGTCAAGCACTGAAATGAACTTCCCTAAAAACAATCTCCCTCAGTTCAAGCGAGTAGGAAATATGACAGAATAAACATATAATATTTCGTAGAAGAATGAAGACTCCAGAGCATTCATGTTAGTCTACTAATGTTTGAAACTGACGAGCACCGAATAACTTATGTCTCAATTTTTTGTGGTATATACATACCGTTATTGCTTTTTCGACTTTAATAACTTCCGATAAATTTACGCTACACATTTCACCTCTCAATTCTATTCATTCCGTCCGAACTTTAATAATGATGTTTAGTTTTTACTACCATTGGCTTGAGAAGTTTCTTCTCGCTGTTCACATGTGACAAATTAGGTGAGAACAAAATTAAACCAGTCTGTACATCGTTCATATCTAATTAGCCTTGTCGATTGTACAATGGTAAAGTGTGATGTTTTGCTTAATGTTTTACAGTAAATAGGAGCTATACGAATAAAAGTAGGACATGATAATCTGAATGGTAGACTTGATTTTGAGGAGAAAAATGTAAGACTTCCTTTACAGGTGGATAAAAAATTTTAAAAATTTATATTTACAAAAAAGGTTTTTTGATAAGACTATACATGTTTTAACTACTAATTCATATGTTCAGGTTTCTTTTCAATTAAATAAAAATGAAGAACCAGGTAATAATATCTATGCATCTAAAAGTTGTGGCCTACAGTCTACTACGAAACTGAAGCATGAGTAACTTAGTCAGTCAGCTACAATGTAGGACCGAGCACATATATGCATCGGTCCAAGTTGCCACACCTTATTAGCACAAGATGAACACCGAATTTATAGTAGTTACTTCAATGGTAGTAATATATAAAAGATTGCATATAAGGATATAATACAGGAAGCAAGAATTAGTTCGTAGAAAGAAAGGTATAAAGCAATTTTAATCTCAAGATCTAAGGGAAGACAAAGTGTATGCATCTACGCCACTGTAATCGATTCTGAGCCATGTCAACCAGAGTAACTTAGTAGGATCATAATTATGAAAATCATCCAAAATTGCTTACTTGCATACGCTGTTAATAAGTATAGAAAAACTAAAGTAAATATACACACAAAAAACTTCTATAGATTGAAAAGGGACAACAGATGCTTCACAAATACTAAATATTTACCCATTGAAATTGTTGTTGTTGGTCACAGTAACAGTATGCTAATTCTTTTTTGTTTGATGTCTGAGTGAGCAAACATTTTTGTTCAGAAATAAAGGAGTGAAAGTGCCAACAGACCAAATACTGTGGATTTTTTAATATTGATGAGGATTCATTTGAGCAAGTCCAGTTAATCAAAATATCATTGGTCTCCAAAAGAAAAGCGCCAACAGCAACAGGTGGTGATGGAGCTGAAATTTATTTAACAAAATTCTGAAACGAAGTAGTTATGATAACGTTTAATACAATTTATTTCATATCGATAAATATACTGAAGATATCTTGTGACTATAATCTTAAAATGGTCTTAAACCCCCTTAGTTAATGGTAATGCATAGATTTTTACTCATTCATAGAAATTGGAATGAGTTATATAGATAACGTGGGAAGATGTTTTTGTTGGTATCGATCTATTAGGACTTCAAGGCATAATAAACGGATTTCTAAAGGCTCTACAAAGCATTATTCAAACGTATACTGAATACGATACATAGGAGTATTTCAAGAAACTTTTCATCAAAAATATACAAAGAAAAGTGCTTATCGTCTAGCAAAAAAAAACCATAGAAATGTACAATAATACTAGTTAACATTATACCAGAAATTGAAAGTTACTAGAAGCTTGTGGTTATCTGAATTTATAGTAAAATAGTAAAGTACTGTTATCAATCTGTTTCGTAATATGAACCAGACGCTTATTTAATATGGTCCTATTTGGAAAAGTTCGGATTATAGTTATTTTATAAGTTGGTTGCACAACATACAATCTAATTTGAAAAGTGTGTCTCAGGATGATTTTTAATAAGGTTAATTTATACTACACTTATTGAGTTTCTTCACATAACAAAATGCAGGCAAAAACCAACCTTCAAATTTAGTGCGGACTTCGATTTCACTGAAATGTCCAAATCCAGCTTTTGTAGCAGATGCCACGCGAATAACGTAGCAGGTGTTGGAATCCAGATTCCCAAACACAAACTGTAACTCCTTTGAATCCACCTGAACAGTTTTTAACCTTTTAGAACTCTGGGTATCGTTTTTGGAACATGTGTGAAGCTAGTGAGATTAAAAACCGAAAACACATGTACGGTCGACAAAACCCAGATTCATCAAAAAACACTTAACAATACCGTGGTATCCATAGAATTATTTTCAATAACCGTGCAAACCAGAATAAATAACCTGAACCCTATCAGATTATGAGATAAGCCTAAAGAACTTGTAATATGTTTAGTATCGCACAGTAGGGTTATCTGATTTGTAAACAAAAGAATGAAACGTTCATTTACGGATAATAAGTTAGAACTATCATCATGCAATTCTCTTCGAAACAATTAAAGAGTGGTGGAGGAATTAAGGAAATAATGAAATTTCAAAGCTTTGCATGAACTCACTATTGTTTCGGAACAAACAAGACTGTAGTGAACAAACACTAAGGTGAAGAAGACAAACTTATTATTTAATACTTAATGACACATTGGTTTAATAAAATGTGAAAATCCTACATCAAATACATCACTTGCACATCTTTGAATTATCTGTTACAAGCCTCATTGTTCCTTTATTCCTGTTGTTAGCCTGATCGCGTACAGTTTCCTTCCTTCTTCTCTTCATTTCAGTCTTCTAAACTTGCTCGCAGACATTTCACTTCCGACTGGTGCTACATACTATTTATATCCGCAAACATAAGTAGCATACACCGCAGATACAATGGTAAACTTCCTAAACAATTATCCTCAATTTGTGGAACGAATGAGACTGCCATGCAACAGTTTAGACACCACCTGTATTTTCCACTTTACAGTATGAGAACACGGGGGCAATTGACTTAATGAGCCCATCTGTGTGATACCGTAATGGAGAAACTAACAACTTTGTTTTCGTACCTAATACCGCCCGCATAAGTGACGGTTTAGCAACGTCTTTTCGTAGTCCTTTGGGAAGAGATACGGATAAAAAAATCACAAAAAAACAGTACTGTGGCCAAACAAGACCACTAAATTACATGATACAAAGTGAATTCTGTTAAAAAGAATGGGCAGGGAAAAAAATTATATATATAAAAGACAAGTTAGATATTATTTAACCACTCGTTAATTGCTTTTTATCTGGACTCAGCCAATTATAAATGCTTAATTATTAAGCATGAAGAGTTAACTATTTATTTATTATTTATTCATTTGAACATAAATATTGATATAAAGGGGCACCGAATACATATGCATCACACAAGTCACTTGGTTTGCGTGTGGGCTGTGATACTGCCTGGGTGCTCAGACCAAAGTAGGTGGTCCTCCCCGGAGACCACATCCGGAGCCGTCGACCTAAAGGTCCAATCCATAAGGTAGTGGAGCAACGTAAAGAAATGCAGTCCCATAGTAGCCAGTGACCAATAATTGGTTTATACGTCATTTGTACCTCCAGGATCCGGGATCCTACGTACACCATTGGTTTGGAATCAGGGTTTTCCAACCCCTTAGGTGGACCCTCTTTATCCACCAACCCGGCTAAAGCGCAGGACATTCGCTTTCCGTCCTCTCAATTTTGTAAACAACACCCTCGCCGCAAGAAGGCAGTATGACAGTAGCCGTATACGCGTGGCCATGTGAGAACATTTCGAGGAGAGCGCACTCTCCCCACCCTTGACCGTACCAGGGCATTTGGGGGCCTAATTACAAAATTCCATGGGTAAACCTTACAGAAAATCTAACAAGTGCGACTGTCATTATCAATTACAAACTTCTTCAGTAACCGAAATTATATGTAATAGCATTGTCTTTAAAAAAGGTAATCGTGTTACTATAAACAGACTAGGTTAAATTGATATAGGATTGAAAAACATAAATTTATGCTATTTACTACTTACTTCCAATTTATACGCAAGTATTTTCCCCACTGCATCAGCATTACTTTCCCAGTCAATCGACAATGAGTTGGATGAACTTTCGAAGTTTTTTATCCTTGGCTTCCCGGGAATCCCTTCTGTAGTTGAAGCAACCAAAGACGTGAACGGGCCAGAAAAACGACCATTATAAAAAGCGAACGACAAATTGTACCGTGTGTATGGCTTCAGATCGGATATATCTACAACCTAAAATGATGAAATATTTGAAATTAACAGTTTCATTAAGTTCGTAGAAAGATAAGTTTAGAGGAGTGCTTTTACTGACTTTAATTGCCTCTGGGTGAAACAACTAACAGTGAAACTAGCAATCAATTTTGGATAATAATTCCATCTGGTTTTTTAAATTACAAAGGAAAACCAAACTGATTGAAGGTGCTTATTTACTCATACTATACAGTTGAAATGCTGAACGCTGGATGCTTGTATCAATCTAACTTAGTACAACTCATGTATGTTTACGAAAACTCTTCTCATAAAATCAAACTTTTTGTATTACCTTATGACTACTGTACTATGAAAATTATAGAGAAATAACTTCGCTTCCTGTGATTTACAACAACTATCTTGAAAATTTACAATATAACAAAAGGAATCTTACAGTAAATGACATCAGCAACCCAGAAACACTAAAGTGTAAGGAGACAATAGTTACCTGTGAGAATGATTCAGATGCATTGTAAAAAGTTTTTGAAGCAAACTTGTAAGGCTGAATTGTAGCAACTGTGACAATGTAACCGACCAGTGGGCCATGTAGTAACGATATAAATCGAGCATCTTGATCTATACATCTTTTGACGTTATCTTGAATGATATCCTTTAGAGTTGCGATACCTACATCTACAGAAATTGAGTGACTGGAAACATTGATGATGTGAACTGATGGATGAGCAACAGGCAAACCAGGAAGAGTGAGTGAGTGACTGGGTTTACTGAATTCACTCCAACCAATGTCATTCAAAGCGCGAATATACAAAGTGTAGCAAGTATAGGGCTTCAAATTATGAAGTGTTGTGCTGGACAGAGGGGATGATACGTTCTTTTGTAAAACTAAGCTATTACTGCAAAAAAAATGTTTTGGTTTGAACAGATAAAAATATCCCGAAATTGCAAATAAATTATTTTAAAATATGCCCCGAAAATCACACACATTCGTGTAATAGATTTAGCGCCGTCTGAATTCAGACAACGGTCTGTTTATACTTGAGTAAATGAAGTAAAAGGTTCATCTGAAGTTAAGTGCTTAAAAGTCCCTGGAGTAGAAGTACGAGAAACTACTACCACCACCTCATTCACTACACTTTCTAAAAGTAAATAAAGACTACGGATATACAAAACATTAAACGCAACGAAATCGGTCGGTCAGTCATAACCACCGTTAAACATAGGATAATGCACAATCAAGAGGGAATACGCAGCGACCTAAACTTAACGTTGGCTTTGAATGAGAACAAATGCCTTCACATACGTGCTGCCTGGATTCTCTTCAAGCCTGTTATCGTTGTGTAAATAGTGGACTATTATTACTTTCAAAAATTCTGTATTTCTTCTGATAAACAAGCAATGGACCTGCTGTAATATTATCGTTTTTACTGGTCTGATAACACGGGTGAAAGTACAGATATGCACCGATGTTAAATAACGATTTATATGCATCCGAACAGAATGGATAACCGGCAATCTTTTGGTCACTGGAAAATAAAATTGTGATACCATATAAACAGATTTACAATTATACCTGTACGGAAGATGGTGAGCAAAACTTGAATCAGCAACCTTAAATGGTAAGACATTCCGAATACACTGTGGAATGTAAAAACGCAAGCTGCACTAATTAGACGTGAATATTATTTTGTCAAATGACGAACAGGCAGTAAGAATCAGTACGTTTATCTTTAAAAATTATGATAACCTTCAGTCTTCCTGGTTAGGAGTGACTAATCCAAACTTAAGAACTTATTTCGTCCGGCTGCTTTGTCATATTAAACTACTGGATTATCAGAACTTCTTTAATCTTACTACTACTAGACACCATATATTCTGGTTAGAAGACTGAAAATGACTACCTCGCAGTAAATTTTATCATTAGCCTTTCCTACATATGTATATATAATTCTTGAAGCACGTGATTCTGCAGTAAACCACACCGATTGTCAATAATTTACAAAGTACTAACAAAATGGACTGTATACAATGCATAGCTTTATTTCTAATTATTTATTTTGATTTTAATAGCTTGGACTGAAGCGTTGGCTACTTTTTAGACAAATGTATCCATAGCAAGGATATCGAAAACGAGGAGCGTTTGCGACTGTTAGTAAATAGGACCATCTGACGTATCAGATGGGAACCAGTAATTACATATTTTGTCAAATTCAACGAGAATATCGGAGAGCGAAATGATCGTATCCATCAAGGAGAATCTGCCTAACTAGATTTGATCTCTAAACCTTGTTACCGAATATCAATCGTAAGTTAAGACATGATATATATATATATATATATATATATATACTCGAGGAAATGGACGAAATTAGGTTGAACTAATTCAACCGTTTTGAAAATGATGCGCAATATCACTCCTTTTAAATGGAATTTGTCTTCAAATTTAACTTTAGAAGACAAGGATATTTAGTGAACAAGTAGTACTTGTTATCATTTCCAGGTGGCACTACCATACTTCCTAACACGATAACTTTCTTCAGAAATCAATACTGTTTAATGGTTCTTTAAAAACAAGGAAGTATTTTGCGGTTGTTTCGTCCTAGTTTGGCACTTCTAAGAAAAGGGGGAATCGTGAAAACCGAATCGAAGTCTTTATTTATTTATTTATCTATTTCAACACATAAATATTGGTACAAGAGGGCACCAAATATACATGCGCCACACCATATTTGTGTGTGGGCTGTGATAAAGCCGGGGTGCCCAAACCGAAGTAGGTGGTTTTCTTAGGAGGCCACACCCCGAGCCTTCGACCTGAAAGTCTGACCCACAAAGCAGTGGAGCATCGTAAGGAGATGCAGTCCCGTGGTAGCCGGTGACCAGCAATTGGTTCATACGCCATTTGTTCCCGCAGGATACTGGAGCCCATGTGCACTACTGGTTTGGGATCCGGTTAAAGCGCCGGACATTTGCTTTTCGTCCTCTCATTTTCGTAAACAACACCCCCGCCACAAGAAGGCAGTGAGTAAGACTTCCCTGGCAGAGGCTGTTTACGCGTGGCCATGTGAGAGCATTTAGAGAGGGAGGGAGAGCCCACACCACTCCCGGCCATACCAGGGCATTTGGGGGTGAATCGAAGTCTGGGATTGATGTACTACTACTAACTACAATGCTCTTATGCCTTAGGTATGATCTTCGGAGAGGTCGAGACCAGTTGCTGGCAGATGCAAAATTAAGGTGGGACAGCTAGCTAGTGGTCTCTGACTATCAATAGTTTATCGAGCAGTGTCAATACACAAGGAAAACCGTAGTCTCATTTAACAAATTTTTGTAGCACAGTCAAGCATAATTAACAATGAGCCTGGTCCGACTTCGGGGTTTCTGACCGAGACTGACTTACTGACTGATGCCGGTATTCATTAACTTCACTTTGTTGACGGGAACGTTTGAACTCGTGAAAGTTTCTGAGAAGCGATTCGGGAAAATATCCTATTTTTGAAAAAAGTATTTAAGTTATATACAAAGTAAGATTCAAAGACTTATGGAGGTAAGACTTTAGAAGCTTAAAGTTCCTTATTATTGAATACTTGTAATTTTGTGAAATGGAATAAATTATGCTATCACCCTTGGAATAGATATTGTACTATATAAAAAATATACAGCATGTTGAGCGCCACAAAAGTGCGATGTACAAACTACTTACTTGTCATGCAAATAGACAGTATGAAGAGAAATGGGACTATTTTGACTATTTCCAGAGACCCATGACGCGTTCATTGAGCTTTCAGACAGTGCCTGGATGAGAATAGACGTTGGAGAGAACGGTTTATCTTAACAATCACATAGGTGATTAGCTTACCTTGTATTATAATGAATAATGACTGGTGGTACTTCAAGTCTCCATTATGAAACAGCCGGCAATAATACTCCCCAGATTGCGCAACGCTAGCATTCCTTAACGATATGGTTTCTTTAGACGTTGTTTTGTTCGAAGGGTCAAGCCATAAGATAAGAGTTGCGTTTAGATGATGATTTTCTCCACACCTCAAAGTTATGTCTGAACCAACACGAAAATGACGGGTTACATTGGTTCTTAGTGGTGGTATAGGCAGTGTTGACAGGTTTACGCACCAAATATTTAGGTGACATATAACCACTGAGAAGAGCACCAGAGCATTTGCAGCTTTAAACATAGATGTGTTATTATCACCAAACTATCATCTCTCATACCCCCAACCATTCGTCGCTAAAATAAAACGTGAAGTCGACCATAGTCCCGGGAACAAATAAGGTCAAATGAAAAGCATGTCAATATCCAATACCTTTGTCATGATCTAGTATAAATTAAAGCAATCAGTAGTGTGATCGAATAAAAGTCAGGAGAATTCGGCGGAGGAATTTTTTACGACATTCACATCTACAATAGTAATTATAAATAAATAACAAAGTCTGTGGAACGATGATAAGTAGAATATCGTAAAGTGACTCGAGATTTTAAATAATAGATTTAGATTTCAGATTCAGATTTGTGTAGTAAGGACAGAAGTTCTACAGCCTATTTTATTCCTTTTCTAGTATGCTTCTATGAGTGCTCAGTATTCTCTTGAAAGAGTCAACTGAAGGTGCTTACACCACTGCTTCTGTCAGCAGGTTCCAAGTATTGATGACTTGGTGTGAAAACCTGTATGCCACCGGTATTTTGTTCGTTCTTAGCTTTTCTACTCACCTGCTATGTCCTCTGAGATGTCCCGATCTAATAGGAAGAAACAGAGAGAATAAGTTAGGTCCAAAATAATTTCTCAGTATTTTGTACATCAAAATTAGATCTCCCCTTAATCTGCGATAGGACAGTGTAAAGAGGTCTAGCTTTTCAAGCTGCTCTTTGTATGGTGAACTCCGGAGTTCCGGGATTGCACGGGTAGCTGCTCTCTGTACTTTTTCTATGATATCCAAGTCACCTCTTAAACATGGACTTGCAGCCTGAACACAGTTCTCAAGCTCAGTTCTCACTAAGGATGTGTATACTGTGGTGAACATGGTAGTATCTAACTTAGTGAATGTCCGTTTTAAAGCCCATAGGGTTCGAAACCCCCTTTTTATATATCCATTTTTGTGTCACCATTTTTAGTTAATTTTAAGATGGTCGGGTCTGCTCACAAATGTGGACAGCCGTATTGCTTATTCCGTGTGGCAGAAGGAATGCAATGTAATGTAAGAACTGGTTCCATAAGGTGTATATCCACTTAAGTCCCACTGCACATAAAATAAGCTCAAGGCTTAACTCTCATTGGCTCTGTATGTTTTGTTGTTCGAATAAAACATTACTCATACAAAAGGTAATTAACCTTCTGTCGTTGGCCAACAAAAAGATTGATGACGGCTGTACCGGTAACATGGGTACTGATAGAGAAGAACGCGTCAGTGCCGTAATTGCTGTCATGGCACGTACCCGACTGTACAACACGCAACAGAGCTTTCTATCCCGAAACAAATGATGAGCGAATATACCATCAGATACTAGTGGCCAAGTTGCCACAGTAGTGACTGATGACCTCGTCAAAACCATTATCATCCCGAGTAGTTCAAATGTGGATGCTGAGACGGATGGGAAATGGATGATGCAGAAACATAGAAAAGAAGGAAAGATGGCCAAAACTAACGCTCGTTTGGTCGAGAAGTCCTTGGTGTACTCACATTCTGTGTGTCAGTTTACTCCTCTGAAGTCCCAAAGTAAGATCACATTTAACCCTATCATAGATGGGAAACGTTTGGCCACGTCAAACATCATCGTGAGTTATTCGCCCGACTCCCACGACTATGTTACAAGAAAAACTCACGGTGAGCTCTGAGCAGTTAACAGGTAAGATCTGCCATCATGATCGAAAGCCATGAAAACGAATTTCAAGAAGTTAAACCAGTCCCTAGTTTACTTATTTGGATTCTAGAGGAGTCGGAAGATAATGACTTCAATGCGCACGGCCTGGAGTTAGTGGAATCTGTCATCAGAAATGTAATGCGTCAAGAGATTTCAGTGCTACATATAACGAAAGTACTAAGACTCGGTAAATGGGTTTGAGGCAAGACCCAACCGAGAAAGATCTTGAAGTTGATATTCGGAAATTTGAAGAAAGATACGTAATATTGAGTATTGTATATTAAACTAGTAAGTTAGCTATTCGTACCCTCGCAGATTCGCCGCTTGAGGATCGAATCAAATGGAAGAATGCCCTTACAGAGCTAAGTATTAGAAAGTTAAATGGCGAAACGAACCTTACCATTAAGGGTTTTCGGGTAGTCAGGTCTTGGAAGCCAATGCTTCCGAGACACGTGCTTCTGGAGAACGAGTGATTTTCAAAGCACCTTAAATGTGTCCTACACAAACGCCCGTAGTCTTAGAAATGAAATGTCCAAGCTAAGTTTGATGTTAGATAAATTAAGTCTAGATATAATTTCTGTCCCAGTTGGTTCATCGTAGATACGGACTGTCCTCCCAACATTGCAGGTTACATCTGTATTAGAAGTGATAGAGTTACGTCGCAAGGGAGTAGGAATAGTTTTATATGTTGGGGATTAATTTCGTATACAATCAGTCATATCGGAGGCTCATGTTAGTGGTACGTGTGAGGTAGCATGTTGTACGACTACGTCTAGAAACGACTTAGTGAATATAGGAAGAATATACCGTAGTCCATGTGGTCTTGCAGGCGATTTTATCTTGAGACACATCTGTTCTTAGGGTAATGCAGAATGTTGTCTCATCATTAGGAACTTCAACGCACTGCATATTGACTGGATAGAGCTTACAGCTTCGGGTTGAGTTCCGACAGAGTCCTTCTATCAACCATTATTAAGTGTGCGCTTGTACAATGTAACTCGAAATCGACACATACTGACTTGGAACATGACCCGTCATTGCCGGGCCTTGTCCTCACAGACCCCTGTGAAGATGTCATCGACATCGTATGTTAAACGGCGAACAAAACGTAGTGATGGTATTTCCTCGTTACCGTTAAACGGAAATTCAGATTTACTGGCTGGATCGGGTCTGGCAATAGCTGAGACTTTTGCAAACTGCTCTAGAGAAGTCTACTCTACGTTTATTGTTACAAATACTTGTCCCAATCCCACCGACATACCAGTCATAGGATCTGTAGATGTAACTGTGGAAGCTGCTCTTCCATTAGTCACTAATCCTAAACCTTGTAAGATACCGAGCCCCGATGGGTTACATCCACGACTGCTGTCATATCTTGCGGATATTATTTCAAGTCCACTCGCGGCGCTCTTCATCATGTCCCTCTTACTTGCCTAACTCCCTAGAGATTGGAAAGATGCTATAGTCAGTCTTCTATTTAAGGATAGTCAGAGAAAGATTGTATTTAACTACCGGCCTGTTAGTCTAACCAGCATGGTCGTTAAGTTGCTAAGTCATATAGATTCGTAAAATCTGTTAACTCACAAGCAACATGGGTTTCGTAACAAACGTTCATGTTTGACTAACTTACTTCTTGCGAGAGAGGGTTGGACAGCAGCCCCAGATAACTGTCTGTCTGTTGACATGATATTCACAGAATTTAGCAAAGCGTTTGACAAGGTTTCACACTTTGGTCTCATGCAGAATCTCTCGAGCTTCGGAATAACAGGTGCTGTACAGGAATGGATAAGAAACTCCTTATGTGACCGCAGACAGAGAGTGGAGGTCAATGGAATGCTATCCGAATGGAAGTTGCTCAAAGGCGCTATACCCCAGTACACCGTCATAAGCCCTCTACTTTCCCCTCTCTAAGTTAATGAATTACCGCTATTGCTTAGGTCGTCGACATTACTGTTTCCGGATGATGTTGAAATCTGGAGAACAATAAAAAGTGAGGCGGATAATTTTGATCTCCAAGTTGACTTAGACGAATTAGTTAGATGTGCTCGAGGTTGGGGCTTAGACGTTAATACTAGGAAGAGTGTCCTCATGCACATCGGACACGGCAACAGTCACCATTATGCCACTGATTGTATATCTCTTCCACGAGTTCAAGAACACAAATATTTAGGAGTAATAATAAGTCACTAATTGGGAACGAATACGCATCGCAACGCAGCTGTTGTCAAAGGTTATCGTGAGTTATGTTCACTTCGCCGAGCATTCAAATGCTTTGACGACGTGTTTGAATTTTATATCCCGCCTATGTAAAACCACACTTATAGTACTGTATTTAAGCAGCTAGCCCATGTCAGATTATGGATGCTGACTCTCTTGAGCGTGCTCAGAGTGTTATTATTATTCTTCACGTATTAAATTACTATTTTGATAACCATTCATATGTGTCAGTAGCATTACTAAATTCTATCACGGTTAAGTTATAATGAGGTCAAAATATCTCCTCGTAACTAAATAAACCGTATCAAACTTGACAAACTAACTGAAACAGTATTTGGAATTTTTCTTATCCACGATTATACTTTTGTTTCTTCATTTAGTCTACTAATGCAGATACAACTGGAAATCAACGCATACAGACAGTATACAGACACCAACATCAACCGACGTTGTAATTTAAACTAAAAGCAGTACCAATATCAAATTTTCTGCAATACTGACTGCTCTTCTATTTCTTTTCGCAAATTACATATACTGCTTACAACTTGAATCATTAGCCAAATGTTATTACTATGCAATTTATTATGACTTGTCAAAATATCTCTATACTAAATTGTTCTCCATTGTCATAATCCTACCATAACTTATGTATAATTAATGCTCATGTGGGTTTTCATGTTAAGTATATCAAGCATGAAACCAGACACTTCGAAGTTATTACATGCATTTCCCGACCAGTTCCTACCACCTTTATTTTGATTTATCTTTCAGCTTATCAATACCCAGAATTATTATTATTATTATTATTATTATTATTATTATTGGTAACCTTCCGCGCGACAATTCCAGTCACTTTAGTATCGAACCAACGTCATGCTGATCTTAATGTGAGAGTAGTGTAGTGGCATTGGATCCTAACCACAATCCTCAAAGCTGAACATAATAACTAGGAAAATAGACTTTCAACATGTAACACTAAGAGAAGATCAATAATGGTAAACGCGGTAACATTTATTCGAAATTGTATTAATCGGGTGGCATGGCTCGAACTCGCAGGCGTGGTCATACTTATGTAAAATAAATTTCAACCGTATTAAACACATTGTTCTATCTTCAGCCTAAATTTGTTCTTCATCATATATTGACGATTGTTACAATACGATGAGTCAGGGTAGACAATGATGTGACTTCCACGTATGATCTTATAGATTAGGCAGTTACATCATGACAAATCCACGATTTTAGGATTAGGTCTATTATTGAAGCAGTACAATATCGAAGTAGA